GTGCCTGCAGCCCCTGGTAGGGTGTGTAGCCAGAAAGTAATGCGAGACTCTTTTGTGTCGATTGTCAAGTGGGCATCACAGGCAAGTTGAGTCAAGCTGAGCAGTGAATCATTGACCGGTGCAGCTGCCTTCGAAAGCATCGCTTTCCTTTTTCATGGATAGGCCAAGTCAATCTTCGGAAACTCAACGCCAACAGAAACCCACGCGGGAGGTGGAATCGCTACTGCTTGGTCAATACATAGTTGGCTGAAGACCCTGGGCGCTGAAGTCTAACTGAGTCAGTAAAAGCGTGCAGCCTCGGGAGTGTCCGAGTGAGAGTTCAAACGACTCGGCAAACAGGCTGGGGGAGACTCTCCCCCTCCGCGGCGCCGCTCCGGTGTGCGTTTGCGTATCGAGCAGGCAGCCCGTGGAAAGTCGGCAAAGCTCAAACCTGAACCGTAAGCCGTGAAGGGGTCAGTTCAGGAATGTCGGGTGGGAGCGAGCAACGCTTTTGTCCGCGGGGCTGGGGTGTAGGCAACTGGAGCAGATGGGTCGAGATACTCAGCTTGTGCTGTGACGTTGCAGCAAAGGGCCTTGTTTGCCGTCCCTTTCAGGTTCAGCAGAGCGAGCGCAAAAGAGCGTCCACATGACACCACGCAAGTTTCGCCACAGACCGGGCATGGACAGTGGGTACCTGCGTGCATTGCATTGGCATTAGGGTTGCTCGCCTAGCCAGGCTAAGACCCGACGCAAGCCAACAAGCAGAACAACATAGTTTAGGGTAGTATTGTGCTGTGATAAATGAGTCGAAGATCTAGTGAGAGTAAACCTGCCTTCCCGGAGTATAACGTGCTACAGTGCCGTTCTGCAGTACTGGACCATGCCCTACTTAAAGTGTCATATCATTGTGACATCGGGCATTTTGCACACATGTTGCAGATATCAACCATGCCAGGAAAGACATCCAGTTGCTGATATGTCACCCGGCTGGCATGCTTCCCAGGAAGCTGCGGAGCGGCTTTCCCTTGGCCTGGGCGCAGGCCTTGAACAAGCGTGTGCGCCGTGGAGATGATCGTCTTTGGAAGGTCCTGATAGTTATGTTCATATCGTTTACAACCCCTTTCAGCTGTCAGTTCTTTGCCATTCGGCCATCTTGCCGTCACACTGGCAGGTACAGCACACTCGTGACACCATGTAGTTCAGCTATACACTTCCTACTGCACCGTAGGTTCGCATGGGAAGGTCTCTATTGAGGCAGCAAAGTAAAAAGGAAGTGCGTGCACAGGTCGAATCGCTGCCTGAGGGAGGCGAACGACTGGCATTGCAAAAAAAGCCCAAAACTCTCTTTTCACGGAGAGGCACGGGTGAATCAGTTTCTTTGAGACAGGGGTGAACGAGCGGCCGGATTCAGATGTCCGTTTTCGATAATTCCAACCGAAAGCAGTCCAGCCTCTTGAGACGAATGGCGGAGAGAAATGCTGCCAGAACCTGGCTGGAGAAGTAATGCTGCTGTCATCTGACATGAAGGCTGAGCAGCTTTGCCCTTGCCAAATGTGGACTTTCAGATGTCGAAGTTGTTCACGAGCTTTAATGTCCAAGTTTCTCTGAACCTGTTGTGGCCATGCCTCAGATGCCAACGGCGGTGTCCTGCGGCACGGATGGTGAACTGCTACATGTACATGATTTGATTTATCTCGCTATGTACTGTCGCCACCGGGCATGTGTGTCAGACTGGGGCAAATGCACCCAGTCATTGTTTGTGCGCAAGCTAAGAGCATGCGAGTGCCCTTGAATTTCTTTAAATCTGCCTGAGAAGGCTTGTGGACATAGTTGCCAGGTTCTTGTTCTGGTCAGGGGCCTCTGATATGTGAGCCTTGAGATGTGGAGGTCAAGTGCCTGGTCTTCCTCCAAGAGTGTTTGGGAGGCTTCCGGTGCGTCCCCTGCTATGTCTGCAATCTGTTACGCCCATCAAAGATGGGACGGCTTGTGTTGCGTGTGCAGCCGTGGAAGTTGCAGCTCAGATGAAGCGAAAGATGTTGAACGATATGACTATCTGGTTGTCCTTCGAAGCCTTCTTCAGGGCTTTGTGACGGGTCTGGTGACCCCAAGCTTGAGCTGCAGCTCTCTGCTGCCACAGAGTGGAAGTTTGTCCCTCCCAACCGTAGGCCCTAGACAAAATCAACACCAGCAAATCGCACAGTCTGCTGCACAGCAGGTGTGTCGCAGGCACGAGCGAAAGGCATCCCCATGCGTCCAGAGTTGCAACGAACATCCAGGATTAAGATGCTCGGGGCCTTAGAGTCAGAGGTTGAGGTAGAGCCGGAGCCCCCGATGTTGTCGAGGGAGATCTTTCCACCCGCCGCCATGACTGGCAAAGGGCAGATGCCGCATGGTGGATTGGATGATGTTTGATGCTGCTTGTGGGTTGGAAAGGCCTGGCACAAATGCAGCCTCCCACAGCGCTTGCAGTCTTCCCTGGAACCACGTGTTTACCAAACTGTGAGGACCAATAAAGGACGCCTCGCTGGATGCATTTCCTAGGTAACTCATGCAAAGGCGAGCGCCATCCTTGGAAGGGAAGGCTTGTAGATCACAGCACTGGCAGTGCATTCGAAACGAAGCGCTCCTGAGACTGGCAAATCGAGGGGGCCTCGACCTCGCTTCAGTCCCCAGTCATAAGGCTCGAATTAAAGACAAATTTCATGACGCATCTCATAACATATTCAGGCTGAGCCCCTCCTTGAACTGCTCCTTCTCACAGGGTCTTTAGCCCTGGCCTTGGAGTGCCTTCGGTGGAGGGTGCAGCTGACAGGCACTGACTCTGCGAAAAGGCGTTGCCCCTTTCCCCCTGGTCGACTCGGAACGGAATCGAAAAGCCTTTACTGCCTCCGGCAGGGAAAGTTGACCAAGGGAAAGGGGGGACGGCCATGTATATTTGCAATTCATGCTTTTGCCGCTCAGTCTGGCCTCTCCAGTCCCGCCTTGTTATTTGTAGTGAAGTTGCATAGGCCGCAGCAAGGTTTCTGCAATAATTGCAATTTAGGAGTGCGAACCAAGAAGATTGGAGCACCATGCAGCTTCTTGGCACCTATCTAGATCTGCAGTATGTGCATCCAATGGATTGCAACTGTTCCGACGGCATTGCCCTGCAAGTGTCAGCTTGGGTATGCGATGCAGGACGATTGGCCGGCACGCAAAAGCTTTGTGCAAACTTCAAGACTCATAAATGAGGCACTGAGCCGGGGCTAAGCCCAGACAGTGGTCGATGCAGTAGCCATCTGCGGACGGCTGCTACGAGCAAGTCTCGAAGTGCCCAGGCTGGATTGCAACATGCCTATGAAATCATCAGGCAACCTGACAAGCTCACAGCATCTCTATTCCAGCCACGCGCCACTGCTCAGTGCCTCGCTAAACAATGCTCCTCTCGCCGCAAAAGCTGTGGACTACCTGGGGTTTGGGTTGCTTGAATCTTGTTGACAGGGCGGTGCACAGGCAGTTTGGCTCCAGTTGCAGGTCGCCGATAGCATGTGGTGTACCCCTCCTTGTGAGATATGGCTCAAACTGGCCAAAGCTTGGCTGACGGTTGGCGGACTTGGGGGATTCCGAAGGCTGGAGAGGGAGTCTTGGCTTGCTGTGTCGACGCGGTGTAGCAACTAGTGGACAGGTGTACGGTGCATGAGACAGGTTTTTGCTACTGAAACAATTAATGTACGGATGGCCCGAATGGGCAAACCTACAGCACACGATTGAAAAATGCACATACATAATGTTACGTAGTGCGAAATGGTGTCGTGCCATCCCATGTGATTTGCATAGCAAGCTAGCATGGAAGAATAAAGGATCAAGGCAGGCAGGCAGGCACACAAACAAACAAACAAACAAACAAAGAAAGAAAGAAAGAAACAAACAAACAAACACACAAGCACGCAGACATGTAGGCGGACACGCAGGCAGGCAGACAAACAGACAAACATTTGGCCTCAATACTTCTGCGACTCCGACATTGGCCCCAGATGTCTGTCCAGGCCGTCCTATGGCATCCCATGCCGTCTTGTGCCACACTACAGCATGCCTTGCCGTACCATACTGTTCAACAGTCAGTGAGACCCCAATGCCAACCACTCAATAACAACATTGTGTGGTTGGGCGGGCCAGTGCATTCAGGGTCACAGCGTGACCTGTCAGCCCAACAGAAAGAAAGATGTGTACATGTGAAAAATATGTATACACATAATTTTATATACACATAGATACACGCACATACTACATGCATGTGCTTGCTTCGCACGTGCTTAGTGTCTCCATCTTGGTTATGCGAGTCAGTGGGGAAAGAGGTCGGCATGGATTCACGCCCAAGGCGCAGAAGTCTTCATCAACGAATGGGGCAACACAGCCCCTTGTTTTGAGGCCCCAATGCCTCTTCCACCGAAACGGGGGAAGGGGACGCCTTGGCGCGGGCTCCGTCGGAGCTACCCCCTTGCGAAGCGAAGCGAAGAGCTTTGTATGCATGTATGCATGCATGTCATGAACGCATGCATGGATGGATGGCTGGCTGGCTGGCTGGCTGGCTGACTGCACGGATGGATGTGGATATGGATGCGGATGTGGATGTGGATATGCATGTGCTGTTGCATATGGATATGGATATGGACATGAATGGATAATAAATGCATGGATGGATGGATGGATGATGATGGATGGATGGATGGATGGATGGATGGATGCTTGCATTGAGCTGGACATGTAGCTAGATAGATAGATAGGCTTGAGATACAAAGAGGCCAGCCTTTGCTGCACTTGCTGCAGTCAACGTTTTCTCGTATGAGGCCCTCAAACTTCGTTTTGCCTTGAACGCTCCTGCCGATACTTGCAATCCCAGCAGATATGTGAACAGCATTCTGCAAAGTCATTCTACGTCGCTGGAGAGCGCTGCACGCTACAAGAAGCAATCCTGCCCATGGCAAGCCCCGAACTCTGCCGATGACAACTGCCAGGCATTCCCTGGAACAATCCCAGGCGAGATGGCCTCGTATCCCCGGTCAATTGCACCGGCCGCGGCCCGGATCCCACAGAACGGGCCAGCTGCGGAGAGTTTCTCATGGTTCTCAGGGCAATGATCTAGAATCAAGCCATCGTTATAGGCCACGACAAGGGTGCTCTTCCTTTCAGGATTATCGTGGCCAGTACTACCACGCTGTCGTAGATCCGCAGAGTCGAAACATAAGACAAGAAAGACAATCCACTCATTGTTATGTCCTGTTCCGTGAAGATGCGGCAGAGAGAGAGAGAGAGAGAGAGAGAGAGAGAGAGAGAACAGAAGCTGTGCCCTCTCTGGCTGAGTGCAAGCAAGAAGACAAAAGCAAGCTGGGCTTTCATTCGGGTGGATTCCTGAACTGGTGGCAATGAAGCGTGGCTTGGCTTAGCACCAGGTGTGGCCTCCGCAGCCAGCACCCTACGCAATGGTACAGGCCAGAACATTTCTGGGATGTGCTGGCAGGCCTTTATGTGACCCTGTGCAAAATGCATGCGTGTACGTCTCAAGACATCAAGTCTGGCCAATGGGAACAGCAGAAGCCGCAAGGTAGCAAAGTCCCAAGACACTGCAATTACTACAACTTGTGGAATGTGCACCGAAGTCCGAAGCAGGCGGTCCATGCACCCTACGCTGCACAGCCGGTCTGTGGCAAGCCAGTGGCAGCCTCAGGGCTGCTGATGGGTGCTGCGCGCGGCATTTGCATAAACTCGAGCCGATGCCCAAACGAGCAACAGCTCCCCACAAGTCTGAGGTCGCTGAGCTGAACCTGGGGCTCATGAGCTCCTCAGCTGCAGACTGGCCGCCAGGGCACAAGTGCAGGGCAGATCCTCGAAGTGCAAGCTTGCGAAGGCGAAGCCTCAAGCCCGCAAAATCCGCAAACTATCAGAGTAATCCTGGAAGCTCCGGGAGCCAGTCGAGATTGGAGGGGCGCGAAAGGCGGAAAATCCTCCTGAGAGCTTGGGAGCTCGACGGTTTGAAAAACCCCCGAGTTCCAGCTCTTCCTTTTGACCTTTTGTCTTCGCTTCCCTTTCTCTTCTCTGGCCGTTGCAGCGGGAGCCCCTGGCCCAGGCTCTACGACCACAGCCGCTCCTTCCTCTCCCGACGACTCCAACTCCACACCCATCTTGCCGGGCACCAAAGAGGAGTTGATCTCATGCCCATCTCACGGATAGACGCTGGGTCTCTAACTTGCACCAACAGGTAGCTGTCCCGGACCCTTGGTCTTCAATCTATTCACAGCAATCCCGGCCCCACACTTCCAAAAAGCACGTTACATCTTCTGGGCTACACCTCACTTTTATTTTTTGCATGCCCTTTCTTGCAGGTTCTGTCCGGAGCGCCGACCGATGCCCGGCAGTGCCTCGAGCTCTCTCTCGGCCCCGTGCGGGCCTGAGGATCTGAGAATGAGGGTTTTGGAGGTTGAGTTTTCGGTACCCGGTAGCTTAGCCACACCTCTTTTTCTGGTTTGGGTGGAACTTTTCTGCAGCTGACCACGGCTGGCATTATTTGCAAAATCACTCATGATGCCTTTGTGTGCTGTTTCTCGGCATGGCTGCTAGTTGAAGCATGAAACGATATCAACTGCGTAAGGTCCCATCATTACAATGTCTGCACAACACTAGATGCACTACCTCTCTGTGGCTGCCCAATCTGTGCGCTGGCAGGCCTACAGACATCAAGCTGAACACAGGGGCTGACACATGGCTGCATGTCTGCGGAAACCTGGAGAGAACTTGGGGGTACCTTAGGATGCTCTCATCGTCCATCGCCTCTTTAAAGACTCATGTTGACGGAAGACGTCGAAGTACGTGCAAGGAGGCGGCTGCGATACGGCTCAGGTTTGAAGCTCCCCAGGCCGGCTGTGTGAATCGCAGATGTCATTTGTGCGACAAAGGGGAGGTGAACCGCACATCCCACGCCCGAAGTCCCTGCTCTGTGAGGCAACTTGCGAGGCAGACCCTCGACTAGGCCGGCCAATCCCGCCTTGAAAGTTCATTCTTCTGAGCCCGGGGTTGCCCCGCAATTTCGTGAGGGCCATGTGTGTGTGTGTGTGTCTTGAGCTGACATGGACGTGAACCTAACGGCAACCCACCGGCCCCGGAGTTGAGGTACGTCCCAGGACCCATGGCATCGAAGGGCTGAGAGCTTAAGCCGATGCTTTGAGGTGCACCGCCTGGCGACACAGGCAGGAAGCCGACGAAGGGCGAGGCGGGCTCTGCAAGACAAGATGTTCACCCCTTCCCGTCGCGCGAGTCCCATGCCCTGCTCGTGGTAATTGTGGTATGCAGTCCGAAGGCAGCAGTGCAGCAGCATAGCTTCTGACAGAAGCCAGACCCAGAAAAAGAACCCTTGGCCATGTCAAGCTCGAGCTCGGCTCAGGGCAAAGTCTTCATCGCTTGCCCCAAGCCTGCAGGCCACGAAAACATGCAGTTTTCCAGTCCTCAACTTTTCTACGAGTAACTGTGTTCAGAGGCTTGGTCGGGTGTGCTTGTGTTTCTCTGTTGATTCGACGGCTTGGCAAGGGTGTTTGGCAGCAATTTGGGAGCAAATAGGTCGCCGGCTCGCTGGCCCGCGCTTCTAGGTGAACTCACTGGGTGCTCGGTAGCTCAAACTCTTCGAGCTTCCTCAATACGAGGACAGAACGGCCTCAGTGCGGTCGAAGTGCACAACTTGGGCACATCAGCCTGTCCGAGCATGCCCTAGAAGCTGTTGAAGGGCCAGGCGTTTCGGAGGCCGAGGAGCGAGGAAGTTCAAGCTGCCAGGCCGCGCCCGGTCCCCTGATGCCGTGCTGTTGGGTCGCCCTGTGCCCAGTACCGGCACCTCGTCTGCAGAGAGCGAAAGCAAGAAGATCCCTGGCCAACAGCCCGGCCCACTGGATGTTCAGATACTATGTGTAGGAGGCCTCGACTACACTACGCTTTCCGCACAAGCTCGCAGTTTTTCTCGTTGGGACTTTCCAGGGGGTTGTCGGATTTACTGTGTTACACTATTGATGATTATCCACTTCGCGCACGCTTTGAACAATGGCGTGTTTGGGGGAGGCAAGTTGCAACCTTATTGGATCCTAGCAACCTTTCGAAACGAATTATGTTTTTGTGATTTTCGTGTGGGCAGGTGGTGCGCGAACGCCGGTGCCAGGCGGAACGAAGATGGCCCCGCAGGCACCTGGGCGCTTGCTGAAGTGATGGAAGTGGAAGTCTACTCAGACAACCTATATAGTTGTTGTGCAAACCCAGTAGGTCCGGTAGGTCACTCGACGGCGAGGAAGTGATTGTGGTTCGGGTGACTTAACAGACAGATGCACCAGGTAAGAGTAGTACTTGTAACCCTTGGTCTTGAGGCATAGCCCTCAAGTGCCACTTGGCAACAGCACCGCTTTCTTGGTTGATGATTTTTGAAGACGGAGATTCCAGCTCATGATGGCGACATAGTGGAGCACCGGTGCTGCAATACACGATGCAGACGATGCTATCAGTCTCGTTGCAAACAGCTCAAGAGGAGACTTCAGCAGATCTGGACTCCCTTGTGCCACAAGCCTTCAAGTGTGATCTTGGCAAGGCCGGCACCAGAATCCCAGTACAGGCCACGGCATCCTTTTTTGTTTGCATCCATCGGGAAGTCAGGCGGGTTTGAGTGTGGTTGTTGGAGCTGGTTTCGACTGCAACACGTCCTGGCCGAACCAGGATCCGTCTGTTCCGTCTACTATGTGTGAATGTCTAGAAGCAGTTGCTAGACTTTCTCAGTTGGAGAGTGCGCGCAGGGTGCTGTCAAGACGCCGATGCCCAACGCTGCAAAAGCGCCACTGCAGGGCGTAAGGACATGAAACTTCGTTGTCATTGCTGGGATCGGCTTCTGGCGAAGCCGCGAACATCAGTTGTGATCATGAAGATTCTGCAGATGCTGGGTAGTGATGCTTCGGTAGTAGCGATCGCGAACATGACAGCTATGCTGGTCTTCATATGACTCATATGATAAACAAAAACTTTACGTTGATCTCAACTCTTCTTGTTGTCCCTTCAGAGTATGATTATTGTTTGGGCTATGCTTGAATGCGGTAAACAATTTTCAAGTTTCCTTACCCGTCAGCGACCGAGTGGGGGATGCTTTAGTATCCACAGCAGCCATTGCTAAATCAACTTGGCAGATGCGACACACTGAAGTCAACGGTGTTCCCTGCTCTGTAGCATTGCAGGACGCCGGTCCCGGGCGGTGTGCGCACTCCGGTGTCAGGCGCTGTCTTTTGTTCTGGTCGAATGTGGGGGGAGGCGATGGCAAGACCGAGTATTCACACGAGTGTGGTGCTGGAGTCAGCAAGCCACCGCCAGGCGGCGTGCTCACTCCCGGGCCTCCAGGACAGGGTGGGGCGAGGACCCCTGTCTCCCCGCTGCCAGGCACAGAGCGGTCTGTGAGTACTGAACGTGGCACCAATGCACATTCATAGCTTTTTTCGCCTCATAGCTTTTTTCGCCTTGGACACTTGGGGCTCCTTGCTTTGCATACTGTGGTGTTTGTGGCCAAGAGCAGAGACCAATCTATAAGGGTATTATGCTCTGGAACAAATCTCAACGTACAGGTGTTGGGTGCTGGAAGTTAAACCTCCCTAAGACCCAGAGCCCACCAAGTGCTTGGATCGCCTGCGTAGGCGCCCGGAGCCCGCTCCAGCCGCACAAGGTGCTGCTCAGAGCTAAGACCGGCGGCGCCCTGGGCGGCAAATCTGCTTTTGCATGGAGCGCTTTTGGGTTTGAGGGAGTCGGTCTCTCATGCCTTCACCTGCGAGAATAAGTCAGAACGACAGAACAATCCCGGGAATCGAGCTGGTGACACCTGGTGATCCTAGTGGTGCATGATCAACATCAAGTAAATGAACAGATTCACCGTACCCAGTGGACATTGTGCATGCATGCATGTAGGTAGGTAGGCCGTATAGACAAGTACCTAGGAGGGCAGGATGGTGGGACGGTAGGTCGGTAGGTGGGCAGGTAGATGTAGGTGGGTACTGCAGGTAGCTGGGGATAGTAGGCAGGGCAGGAGGGATGCAGGTAGGTAGGAATGTATGTCTGTGCGTGCGTACATCGTAACGCCTGCAGGCAGGCAGATCGACAAGCACAGACACACGCACGCGCATGCCGTCACACATACACACAAAACACGCAGACACAGATGCAGACGCACACGCAGACACATGCACCTGCACCTGCACCTGCGCACAATGATACGCATGCTTTTGCCTGGTCTTCTCACTGTTGGATTCTGGCGGTCTTAGGTGCGGACCTTACTCCGCCATCCCCAACACCAGCGACGGGGAGCCCGGCACTAGTGAAGAGCAAGACCGGCCTGAATGCAAGGCTGCGCTGCCTCGACCTGCTTAACACTGTTGTGTTTGTTTTTGGGCGGTTTTTTTGGTGCAAGTGCCTCATTGTGAGTACGGGCTCCAGAAGTTTCTGAATGCCATGCGCAGGTTGCTACCTGCCACCTCGCCCTGTGCAGTGAAGTGCATTGTGTCCGCTACGTAGACTGGAATTCCGAAAGTTGCGACAAAACCCTTTACGGGCAGGCGCGTGCCGAGCCCGGTGCTGGGACACCGCTTGGTGGCGCCGGGATCCGAAAGAGGAGGAGCGGGAGGGTGCATTCCAGAGCTGCCTGGGAGGGTACGTGTGTTGGGTCCCGATGACATTCTCATTTGGATGCGGCCTCAGCGCGACTCGCGATTTCAGGAAACCGGAGCTGCTCTCCAGAAGGCGGCCATCTGCCTGGGCAGCCCCCTGACAGGAGAAACTTAAGGCTTGCAGCGGCTTTGGGACAGCTTCCTGCCAACGCTGAAGTGACAGCTGATGCCGGCAGCATCTGGCCCTGTGGCAGTCCCACCCAGGACCAGTGCTCCACCCTCGCCACAGCTTCCGAGCCGCACAGTGGGGGTGGCCTGGCGACACAAGCTGCTGCTTGACAGTACTTGCAGTACGCTTGAAAAAGGATTCGCCCTGTGCAAGCCAAGCATATCCCAATGCAAAGTCTCGACGCTTATCTTGCTTGCACGACCTCATGCGACAACGTATGGTTCGTTGAAAAGCTCTGGGATGCGTTGAAAGCTCTGGGATGCCATGTGTTAATAAGACCGGCAGCGTTTTCGCCAGGCGGCTTGCCGACTCCGAGTTCACAGCCCGCGGGGTCAGAAGGACTGGCCTGGGTGGATGGGCATGTTGCCATCCACATCACTCGCTTGATCTGCCAAATGCTTGAACAGCATCTACTGGAAAGCATGTAGATTCTTGTTCAGACGACTTGCTGCCTGCACCAGGCACAGGCACAGAGAGTCGGTGGTGTCCCTGTCGATGATGTTGTTTTTGGTTTCTCTGGTAGACTGGGTCCGCGACCAGAGGATGCATCAAGCATGTGGGTCTTCATTGCAGGAGAAGGCTGCGCAGCAAGTTACAAGGACGTGCAGTGAGGGCGAGGACGCCCTCCACAAACTGCATGGTGCCTTGGCGCTCACTGCGGGCCAGGAGAGTACACTCGAAGCTTCATGTGCCTCACTGCGGGTCTCCGGGTTTTGACATGCTGCATCGCTGCGCAGACGCAGGCCCGTTTCTCAGCCCCTGGAGGTAGTGCCAGCTTGATCAAAGATGCCCTGGAGAGCAAGCAGAAGCTGCAGAAGTATGCAAAGCCACCGGCTGAGCGGAAATGTTTCGAAAACGTGGTGTGGTGTTGTGCATCTCTTAAGGGAGCTCCTCGCCTCCAGGTCCTGCTTCCAAGCGTCAGACGCCAATGGCGACGGCCAAGTGAGTGCCGCTGTCTGCAGCTGGGAGCTGGGTGTTTTCGGTGTGGGGTTGCTAGCTTTTTGCAGCCAGGTTGTCGTGGCTGCAGCATCTGACATCTGGCACAACAGTTGCTCGTGATGTTGAGTGAATCGGGGATGTGAGACTTGCATGAGGTTTCGAGGAGCTTTGCAAATGCTCCTTGGCTGCACGGGATGGCGAGGGGGCTCGGGGTGTTCATGTGACGGTCTGCTTTGCTTTCTGTTGAGTCCTTGGTGTGTGTGTGTGTGTGTGTGTTTGAGGGGATTCGTCCGACATGTCTGCTGTTGCAGCGTGATTTGGGTTCGGGCTTCCCGGACCACCTTCTTGCCGGTTCGGCTTGTTTCGAAGCTGGCCTTCTTTTGGCTTCACTGCGGATCAGACAGAGCGTTGATGATCTAGATGAGTCAAACTCAGAGCTGGTATTGAAATCGACACATCTGAGTAGTCACATGCCAGGTTTGAAGGGCTCGGAAAGTTTTGTGGGTCGTGGAGAAGGTTCAGGCTAGACTGATACCCGAAATCTTCAGCGTAGGCCTGAAACCTGCTGGATTCCGCAGGCATGCAGAAGATGAATGCAGATCTCGGCATTGGAGATTTCACGGAGCGGCATGTGATGTGCTCCGGGCTGAATAAAGTGCTTCCACCGGCTTAGCCTCACTTACAGTCATCAAATGTAGTTGCAACAACAAGCCAGAGGGCAGTCTCACAACCGTTGCAGTGCTTGCATTCCGTGACACCGGCATGTTTTAAGCATCCTTGACCCCTCGAACCCTCCAAATATGAGCATCCAATGTGCAGATCCCCAACACTGCCCCTTTGCTAGCAGCTACACCTGATGTGGTTGCCGTTCTGTCTTGTATGTCACAGGCACACCTCAGACCCAACAAAATCAACCTGCCACATGTGCATAAGATTCAGTTTGTGCATTGTGCAGCCAACAATCCAGGGCCAACTAATCGAAGGCCAATGGTCGAACCGGTTTGCTGGTAACAGACTCGATCGGGACGAATCTCTTCTTGCCGGCAAGAGTGCGCTAGGGGCAATGGCGCTGGAACCTTGATCTTACCAGACGACCGACATGCAACCTTAAGGCACTACCTCCAGAGATTCGACACCGACGGGGACGAGCTGCTAAATGAGAAAGAGCTCCTCGGCCGAATCCGAAGGCGATGTGCTGGGTTGAGCTGAGCCAAATCCGAGAAGCTTTTGCCTTAGGTTCCAAGAGCTCTACAGGGCCCTGCTCTTGGTGAAGCTGGAGGATCTTGCCGGAGTTTTGCAGCCGGGAAGCGTCCATCCATCGTACAGTCGTACAGCCATACAAAACGGTAAGCAGAGATCATATGTGTTCGTATCGTCGTGTATCCTAAGAATCCGCATGCGCCGCTTGCGTGATGACGGGAGCTATGCGTAAAGTTTGCAGTTGCCTGCTATCAGGGCCATAGTGTTTGATTTACTCCGAACTGTGCAGAATTTTCCTTCACGGTTGACCAGGCTACCAACATGATTCGAAATCCTTGCGTTCATAAACGCCCCACAGCCGAAACCTGGGTCCTATACCGCTGATCGTTGAGCATACATCTCGCCAAGCCACGCCACACCGAAGGTAAGTTATGGCGTTCAGCGGGAGTATAAGGTTGAAACTTCAGCTGGTAGGATGGCAACAATCATAAAACCAAGAGTATCGCAACAGCGAGAAATGTGTCCACCTTTCAATCTCGGATAGCATTCGGAGGAAGTGGAGCCTGCGGACTTCTCGCGGGATATGTTTATTGGCCGACGGAAGGCGGGGCTCGGTCTCGAACTATTGAAATGTCCTCTTTCTTTGCCGAGACTCAGAGAAGAAGGAGAAGCTGCGCCAATGTACTGTTGTTACGCACCAGCCTCGCCTTCAAGAACTATGAGCCCGCTTGTAGTCTGTCCATACCAGGACTACAAGCCCCGGCCCCGCTTGTGGTCTGTCCAAATCCGCCCCCTCATGCTCTTCAGATTTGCAGGATTACAGAGGGGGGTCCCCGGCTATTGAACCAGACTCCCCGGCCCCCCCAATTGTATGCCCCCATTTGGTCCTCCCCCCTGTGTGATCATCCCCCCTTCCCCCTTGTGGAACGGCCAGGGTCTTGAGCTTTGCCCCGCCCCTTCGCCCCCCGTCTCTCTGTTGAACAGGAGCCCGTCGCACAGGCCCCTCAGACCACTGGGTGGAAGAACGACGAGAGCACAACCATGTGTATGTATGATTGTAGCAATGATGGCCTTTCCAAGTAGAGCGTTTGGAACACTCGATGGCTGCTGCTGGTGTCAGGAGGCACTAGTTGCCCAAAATGCGGGTGTGCCTCATTTCGGTGATGCTCAATCCCGATCTCTTCACGCCTAATGTAGGTGGCTAATCTTTCGCCGAATGCTCACGCCAGGGCAAACCGGAGGACAACTACGAGGTCTTCGGCTTCCCGCCCTGACATGACACTTAAGGGGCCTTCAGAATTTCCAGGTCATGTTTGAACTCGACCCCACTCTCGATGCGAAGGGACAAGCCACCGAGGTATCGTGGGGGTCGGCTCTTTCGGAGTGGTCCGGAAAGTCAAGTCGGGGACTCGGATGGCTTTGACGCACGAATTTGCCTGCCCAGTTGGATGTAGGGTTCTGAGTTTGCAGGGCTTCGCTCCCAGCTTTCCCACAGCATGATCAGGGTTTCAAGGCCGCTGCCCACAAGACTGCTTGCAGGAGTTTGCAAAGGCTTTGAAAACGGTGGGCAATCCTCGACAGGGTGTGTGCACCGACGTAGAGGGGAAGTTAATTGACATCTGCTGGCCTCAGGTGCAAGCTTACCGGCACCACACGTGTGATGAAGGTGGTCGACAAGCAGAAGGCACTCAATGGAGGCTCCCCGGAGGCATCGCACCTGGAAGGATTTCGTGAAGTGCCTTGAGTTGCAGGGGGGGTTGTGAGCTGCTGGCTGTCGTTTTTTCAAGCTTTGTGCAACGTGCTGGAGGGCGAACCCCCGTCCCCAAGTCTCAGGGACCAGCGAGATCCCTTGCCTATGTTTAAAGATGCATGGAGGGGAAAGGACGTCTCTTGCATTATCAGTCGAGACGCCAAGGCTATCCTCTGAAGCTCATCATGGAGGACAGAGAGCCAACTGATGAGGGCAGCCCGCGAGGAAAACTAGGCCAAATGAAAGCTCCGCTGCCTGGACTTCACTTGTTCTCAGTAGTGCAGGAGATCGACAAGCTCCGGGCTCTTGACCACCCGTCCGTGCTGCGGCTCTTCGAACCTCTTCTTTGCCAGAAACGGTCTTGCAGTTCATGTTGTCTTCTCCAGCGGCCCAAGTCCCGAACTCTACGAGGAGGACTGAGGGCTTGTAGCTTTGATATATTGATTGTGCTGCCCAGGACGCCTCGAACCGAGAGACAAAAAACAGCTAGGTCATCCTTGCATCGAAGCCAATCGGCAATCAGAAGGAGCAGCCCCAACGAACAGCAACAGCGGCGGTGGTGGTGGTGGCAGCAACACCAACTGCATCGATCGCATGAGCACCAGCAACGGCAGCATCACCAGCATCACCAGCGACACTTGCGCACGGGCACCGCTGGCAGCACCACCACCATCGGCACCATCAGCACCACAAACACCACCAGCCATGCACCTAACCACCACCGCAACAACCAGCGGAACAAGCAGAAGAAGACGGCGAAGAAAAAGACGAAGAAGAAACAGCAAAAGACAACGACAATTTCAACCAAATGTGCGTCTGCTGGTGGAAACTGAGCCTGCAACAGTTAGTTCGTGTAAAGATGCATATGCAACCGGTCTCAAGATGGTTCGTGAGGCTGGAGTGGTAAGTTGAGGTTTCTTGTTTGAGTTGTGAGTGTGTGTGCCTGGCATATGTCCGGCATTGCCGGCTGCTTGAGGCGGGAGAGAGAGGGAGAGAGAGAGGCAACCCCGAAAGGGGCCTTGAAGACTGACAGTCGGGGTAGGTCTTCGGGCTAGGGCCTCCCTTCAGACCCACACCCCTTAGCAAGCAAGCAAGCAAGAGAGAGAGAGAGGTTCAGCCCGAGGGTCACGAAGGTGACCCCTTAGCCCGGCAGAAAGAAAGAGTTCTGAACCCCTGCACATGCTCCGACCTTTTGTTGATAACACATTGGGATGATGTTTGTAAAGCCGGGGAAATGCGACACTGTGCATGTGTACGACGTGCAACTGAGGAACCCTGTCCTGTCGTATGCTGAAAACTAGTGATACTCTCTCTGTCAGGGGGACTCGTTGTAAATCTCACGCCCTTTCCAAAAGCCCCATAACACATGGGGGGCCCATGTGGTCGGGGGGCGTCGCACGCCTCCTTCGCCCTGCTGAAGAAGTTCTGAACCCCTCAGCACGCAAGCAAGAATTTCTTGCACACTTTGTCTTAGAGCGGCCACCACCGACAACGACGGCAGTGGCAGCAGCAGCACTGCAACAGCAACACCAATGCAAGGAAGCACAACATGATCAGCATCAAGCTCAATGACTTGAGCCCAATCCATTAGCAGCTCCAGCAACCCCGCCAACACGATCATGGTATCAATATCATCATCCTTATGAGCGACATCCTCCCGATCAACAGCAATCAAGAGAAGCCCGCGATCCGAGGAATACTGTGCTGACGCGCTGAACTTGTACCTGTTTACCGACATGCTGCCAGGCAGAGTGGCTTGAAACCTGCTGCTGCTGCTGCTGCTGCCTACATGCCTGCCGGCATCATTTGTTTCGGTGCTCTGGCTTCCCTCTGGAAGGTGGTGATTTGCTCGACATCGTGGAGGGATCTTACAACAAGAAGCGGCGAATAGAGGAGCCCGGGTTCGGCAGTTCAGGCGTGGGTTGGATGAACAAGGCCTGCCCCTGCGCATTTCCACCGCCGACCATTGTACGTGCGATCCCCATGCACCTTGCTATCGGCATGATTGGCATGATTGTGATATTGAGACCTATTGCGGCGGATTTTGCCCATCTGCCAGGAGAATTGGGTGCGGGATGTCTTTCGCCAGGCGGCTGAAGGCCAGTAGGGGAATGGGGACAGAGGCTTTCGGGTGCAACCTCCAGCTGTGCTGCCGATGTGGCACCAGGCAAGAGAACTCCTGCGATTCAAAGAACCGCCCATACTCCACCAGGAAGCCACCTACGTAGGGACGAGGGCATGGACCCTGATGCATGAAACCTACAAATGGCTGGTGAATGCTGGTGACCGACATGTAATGCAACGTAAGGTGGCACTGAAACACGCAAACAGAACACAGACATTTCGGGCGACAACTCGCGTGTGAATCAACCTGCATGTTCCAGGTGCTCCGTTGCTTGGTTCTGGCATTCTTCGTAGGCCTCGATAGAGGAGCACAACAAGTGCCAAGAGATTCTACCAACCCCCCTCGTTTTGTACGGTGGCAGTGCACTGACTGCCCGAAACCTGATTTCGGGCATTGCGTAACTTGGGGGTAGATTGGATCTGGCCAAGGAGTCGCCTACTGCCACGCCAAAGGTGCCGGATCTGAGTTTTACACTTCTTGCAGAGTTGAAGACGGACAGGCAGCAGTAGGAGTGAGTAGTGAGTCGCATTCCATGTCTTGGTGTTTCTTCGTCGCGGCGGTAGCACATGATGGTTCTGCAAGTAGGTCATCTTGAACTGCCGTTGAAAAGACCTGGCCGAGGCGTCATGCACAAGGACTTGAAGCTGGAAAATATCATGCTGGCCTCGGTCCAACCACCGGAGGTGGGATGGGCGAGCCTGAAGAAATGGGCAGCAGATATATGGCAGGCAATCCTTGAAAGCCTGTCGACAGGAAATAGTTCATCACTCCGAACCCTTGCTGCGGCCGACATTTGCCGTTCCTGCATGTGTGCAGCTTCCATGTAAGAGCAGCTAAACAGCTAACACAGCTAAGCGTGCCATTTGTGAGTGGCTTTGTGGATGGCTCTTCAGCTTCAAGGCGGTGGTCATCGACGTGGGCCTTGCCGAGCTTTTCCCGCCCTCCGAAGCTGACTCCTTCAGTTCCCGGGCGCTGAATGACATTGCTTCAAGCATGAGTTTTTCGTGACGATAGCAGTGACCTTGATGCTGCTGATGAAAATGAGAATTGAAGGTGATAATCAATGATCATGTCGAGCATCACAACTGATCATGAATGGAATCTCTTCTTTGCCCGAGGCTGGCAAATGCGGCAGCGACAGTAAGAACAAGCAAGACGGTGACCCTGCTAGAAGGGCCTCAAGCACAGTAATTAGCAGCGACAGCAAGAAGAAAAAGAAGCAGAGCTACCGGCCCGGTCAATCAGCCCAAATCCCGCCGCGCGAGGGCCACTAGTCAATCTTTTGCTCGCAGGGTATGGGCTGCTTGGGGCAACAAGTGCGCCTTGTGACCTTGTGAACAGAGCTCTGAAGCGACGATGTCACTGCGTCCACCAAGGCAGTTTCTGTGTCTTGTTGTTGGGCCTGGCTCTTGAATAAAAGCTGCCGGAAAAGAAGATGAGATCAGGGAGAACGGAGAACGGCAATAGTCAGAGTGCAACAAGCGTGGCAAGTGGTGAGTGCTGTACTACAGAAAGTGCTGTGCAAGGTAGCCGGTTCCCTTGTTTCGCCCGACAGGCATGACGGAGTTTGGGTCTGTGTTTGCTGGCGTTCCCGAACCTTTTGTGACTTCTCTGTCTTGTTGCAGTTTCCCGGTGTCGGTGCCTTGTCATGTCACAGATGAGTATGGGAAGTTGTGAGTGCCGATGCCTTGCTGCAAACACTGCGAAGCAGAACGAGCCGGGCCCATGCTTGTTGTAGGCTCTCAGTGTTTTGTGGTGGTCGTCCTGTAGCTTTAGCGGGGCATGTGCAAGGAAGCTGAGCTCCAAGTCTCCCCAACTGTAACTGCCCTACACCAAAGCTCCCAATCTCCCAGGCTCAGCGGACCCTGCTGGTACGCTGGCGACCATGGCTCCTGCACCTCTGTGTACAGAGTTCAAAAATTTGGGGTCCTCCTGGGATTTGGGGGAAAGGGCGTCAGCTAAGAAGAGAAGAAGACGGAATCCACGAGAGTGACAGGGCAAAACCTGTGGCGTGTGCCGCTGCATCCCTCAGTGCGTTTTGGACGGCCTCTTGCCGGGGCCGGACTTCGGGAGTTCAAGCAAGGGCTTGGCAGGCTTGTTTGGTGCTTTCATGTGGTTTGCAGAGTGGGTGTCGTTGCTTGGATCGAAAAATTCGGTGGCCTCAGCCCTGCCCAAGGAAGTGATCCGCGGCAACTTCAACGCGAAGTGTGACGTATGGTCTCTAGGCGCGACGCCTCTTCTCAGCTGTTGGGACGGCCATGGCGGCCATGGCCCTTGTTTTTCTGGATGTTGGTACTTCCATGCCGACACTTCTTGGGGGCGATTTGCCGTGGCTAGAAGCCCCAGCAAAAGTTTCAAGCACTGCGCAGGTTGCTGTCTCTACGCACTGCTCTGCCGCAAGCCTCTGCGCCTTGAGGATGTGAAGGGCGAAGGCGGGAGATGTTGGGAGCTTCCGCCCAGGCTTCGGGGCACAGCTAGGCCCGTGCCGTAACCCGGTTCAGGTTGACCATGCCGGCAGGTTTCGGATGTGTTTTGGTCCAGTCTGGGAAGCTCTATCTCTATCCTGGAAGGAAAAGGCGAAGTGGAGCTGTACGATTACTTCTATCCGTTCTCTCCGCCTCCGGATGAGTCCCGCCCGGAGCCACGCGAGGGTGATATGAAACACGAAAGACTTGAGGAGGTCAGCTTTTGGAGGGCTCACGATAGCCGCGGCAGGTTGCTTGTCTTGTGACTCACGTAGTCTTGCGTCAAGGGCAACGGTGGAAAGTAAATATGCTAGTTGAAGATCTGCCGAAGGAGCTGAAGGCATACATTGCGCGGCAGAAGGAAGGCCCAGACTTCACCAGGCCATCAGAGCTTTCGGGTTTCTTTCATCGACGGGCCTGTTAGGCTGCTGTATTGCCGGTAGCTCTAAGCTAAACGCTACTGGTATTGCAGAAGTCATAAATCATAAATGCGGTGTCTGCATGTCGGCTACTTGTATCGTTTCTAGAGACTCTAGTGGAAATCTCGAAGAACTTGTGAAAGCCTTCAAGTGCTAGTGCAGGCAAAACCTCTATGCAGGAACTACTTGGGTGGGAGCTCTTTTCGTGTATTCCGGCAGGCGTCCGATATCTGGTGGACAGACCCTACGTCTGTCTGTTTGTTGCAATTGAATGCTAGGTCGCTGACGGTACGGATGAAATGCAAAGTTACAGCAATAAGGAAGAACATATCTGAGCTGTTAGTTAGTCAACAAGTCAGGTAAAGAGAGAGTGAGTTGGTGAGTTAGCTTGCTAGTCAGTTACAGTTACTTCAGGTAGCTAGCTAGCGAGCTCGCTCGCTGAGCAGTTGTCGTAGTCTTGTTGATGCGAACTTGTCTTGCTGCTGTTCGTCGTCATCGTCGTCGTGCAGCACTAGAGCACAAGAGCACGGTAACGACGAGCAGAAGACCACGCGACAGCAACAGCAGTGGCGACAAAGACTCAGTTGTGAGTACAGACTTGTCCCAGGACTTGGATGTGCATGCGGTTGCTTCAGCAGTTAAGCTTGCGAGACCTCATAGTCATAGTGATGGGGGCCAGCGCCAGCGCTGCTGGCTGCTGCCACGAAGCGAACGGCGATGTGTCCTCCTCCTCCCAACCTCCCAAGGAGACTGTTGAGGCGGATCGGATCTCTTGCGACTCGCAGCTGGGGAGTGCGTGTTCCGATGAGAGGCAGAGCAACCGTACTCAGGCCCAGGCACAGCTTACGCGGCAGTCGAGCCATTTCAGCCGCTACGACAGAATGCAGAACATGCAGCAAGTGACCGTGGACACCGAAATCATCCGTGCAATCCCCTTGCACAGAACGCTGCGTCGCTTCGGCAAGCTTTGGCGTACGTCTCCGGTGGATCTGGATGACGACCGACGGAATGGGCTCTGGATGAAATCTTGTCCGGCCGAGAGATTTGATGTTTTTCTCTCACACACGTGGCAGTCCTCCTGGTGGTGGAAGTATTTGTCGCTCCTACTGCGCTCGGGCAGCCCGGCGGTTCTGCTTGCATGGACATGTGCGGCCGGCTTGGCTTTTGCACTGTCATTGTTTGATGTCCTTGAGCTCCCGTTCGAGTACGAGCCACAGCATGTCGTCGTTCAGGCCAGCTGCCCACTGGGATTTTGGGTCATGCTCTTGGGCAATGCGGCCGTGATAGTGGCTGTTTTTGCGTCACCTTATCTGCCGTGCAGGAAGCAGTGTGCCTGCTTCCTGGACGCGGTTAGCATTAACCAGGCGGATTCTGAATTGCAAGAGCGAGGTGTGTATGGAATCGGCGGATTCCTGAAGGTGTCCGATGAGCTACTTGTGATGTGGAGTCCGTTGTATTTAACACGTTTATGGTGCGTATATGCCACTTGGTCAGTGTCCGGGATCCTTTTCAGTTTTTGTGGCTTGGGTCTCCTTGGGTCTTGATTTTGTTCCCATGCATGCGGATCAAGGAAATTGCAATGTTCCGCTATGCAAACCCCAAGGGCAGGATCACATTTGCACCTTCATTCGTTGAAGCTGCGGCCTTGTGTCTCTGGTTCTTCACGGCATTAACGACTTTCTTTCTCTGGACGAGTCTCGCGTTCCCACTAAGCTTGGATCTGCTCCTCGTTGAATGGAGTCTTGCATTTTTGCCCGTCATCCTTTGTGCACACTTCCTGCGGCGCAGCCTGTACAGCAAGCAGATGCTCCTGATGAACCTTGAGCACTTCGATTTGGACACTGCTCAGTGCAGGGTCGCGTTTGACAAGGAGTTTGTGCATCAGTCTATCGTGCAATGGTATGGAAGCGTCGAAGCTTTTAACGCATACGTGCAGGGACCACTGCGACAGGAGCTGCTGGATTCGTCCTCCAGTTTCCAAATGCCCTTGATGTACTTCCTCGTGATCCTGACCCCGGGGCAGGCCAGCAGCCTGGAGGAGCTTCTAGGGCTTTTGAAGGCCGGGGAGCCTTGGAAAGTCGTCTTGTCTCATGCCCTTGCTCACAACATCGGGCTGTGCATCGCCGTGATGTTCAGCTTAAAGTTTTTGTTCAAGCAGTGCGAGCGCTTTGCGGCTCCGCGACAGCGCATGTGCCTGGACTGTCTCGCATCTGTCCTGATCTTCCTGGCGTGCCTTGTCCGTGTTGATACGCCGGGCTTGAGGATCAAATGTTTTGTCAACTATTCTTCCAGTCTTCCACTTCACCGTTCTTATTCCGGCTGTGGTCACACTGCTCGAGTCGGCCTCAGGTTCGGGCTGGTAACCCTCCTCCTCGCAGGCCTTAGTCTGGCTTCGGCTTATTTTGGCATCTTTACGGCCCTTGCCTGGGCTGTAGTGATGCTGTCTGCGGCCTACGTATCCTTCAATGGTATCCCGGCAGCATTCTCGCTGTATAGTTGCGTTTTTCCACGGAACTTTGTTGTACTGGGGAAATCAATCCTTTCCGCAGGTAAACAGGTCTAAGTCGCGTGGTAAGACTCTAGACCCTGTGGTTTTTACGTTCGGAGTCAAGGGATCAGGTTGCTGGCGCAGCGCGTTGCATACACGGCAGGCACGGTCAGCGGTTCCGAGGCTCCCGCAGTGGGTGCACTTCGGCAAAGGTCAGGTTCCGCTCGGCCCCGTCCGCCGGTTTGGGGCTTTCATTCGTGAGTCTGGTGAATCAGTTTTCGCAACAGCACCGCGCACTTTCTGCGATGTTCCGGGACGGATGTGTTGCTCCTGCCAGGGTCCTGTGTGGTTAACTTGGCTTGCTAATTAATGATTGAAGTCCTTACAGTCGGGGCACCGTCACGGTATTCACCTCCTCGGGGTCGGCGTGGTCTCGACCGCGTGCCCTGTGGTCTCCGCCTCCAATCGAAGCACGGTCTGTGCACTCCCACCCCTTCAGGTCGTGCGCTGTGGCTTGATCTGGGATCAACTTTTCTCAAGCCACACCGGCACCCCTTTCGCACGCGATGTAGGTTTGTTGGGCTGCTAGATGTAGGTCATGTCAGTGTTCTGTCGTTGTGGTTCTATGCTGGCTTTCTTGCATGACCATGTCGGAGCATCCAAGGATCCTCGCTGAGGAGATGCAATCGCAGCGCGTCCAACGGCGATAAGCGTGACAAAGTGTGAAGCTGCGGGATCTGCGGCCGTGCTGACGGCAGTGACTTGAACGTAGCAGCTCGTGGTCGTCTAGACCTCGGCCTGAATGTTGATTTAATTTAGTTTTAATTCTGATTCCGACGAATCGCTGTAGTCTAGAGCCTAGAGTCTAGAGTTACAACACGCTTCGCAATCCCTGGCGGAGCGAGATCATAGTGTCGTGACGTCACGCTCCTTTGTTTCCTCACTGTTGCTGGTGGTAGGCTGGAAGTTGGATTACAGGTTGACCCGGTCAGGAGAAGAGAGCACACACTTAATTGTCACCTGTTCATCGGTTTCACACTTGCACGGTTGAACACATCTTGCAAGGCACATGCATCTTGTCTGCCCGGACCGTTTCGGGCAGCTCATTTTCGAGCTTTTCCTTCTGCTCATTCCATGCAGAAAGCGATGCAGAGGCTGCGGCCAGGAGCTGAATGCCCTGAGGGCCGGAGTTCCTCCTGTCTGAGCTTGGCGAAAAAGTTGGCAGGTCCCTCTTTGTTTTAGCTGTTTCTGCCATGCTATTCCAATCCCACGTTCACGGCCTGGGCAGCTCGTGAAAGGCTGGAGTGCTCCGAAGATGTCCGAAACCTCTTGACGCTGCTGCTCACCTACGACAAGGAAATGGAACAGCAGAAAGATGTGGTCGCGGTTTGGAGTTGGTAAGTACATGTCGAACATGCGTACATGCATGCATACATACGTACACAGTGTGTATACAAACTTCTATATGGACATATGAATACGTGGAAACATTATACATGTGAACATGTGCATCTACATTTTTGCATGTGAAGGTGTGTATATATACATATACACATATACAGTACATGTATGTATGTATGTACTATATACCTGCGGAATCTCAACACATCCACGCATCTGTCGGTCGAGGGTTGAAGAGGGCTGCTGTAGCAACCGTAGTCTGGTGCGGCCGAGCATCGGTTGCGCCAAATGCGCTTGCTAAGCTGAGCATAACGTCGAAAACGATTTCATCTTCAGGTGTCCCGATGTAAGTAAAACATAGTTAATTATTGAACCCGCAGCATTGCCAAACCCTAGCAGAGACAAGCAGGTGCCAAGATATTGAAGACACATGACCCCACACAAGATGGCAGCAGATGCAGTGAATATGGGCAGCTTCGATCAGTATCGCCATAGCGTAGCAGTACAACAACATTGCAACAAGTTATCATACATGTAGCAGTGAAGCTGCTTCACTGTGAAGCAGCAGAGCCACATGGGACTGCATTGGTGCAGCATGTCATAGTACTTCAAGATCACAGTCATGAAGTGATGCAACAGTGCGGCCTCATTCAGAATATTGTCATCTCGTCGTATCATAGCAAGATATCAAAACTGCAAGGTGGCAAGCCAGTGACATCACCAGCGCAGCAATGAGTTTACCATGACTGATCTCAACCAAAGAAGAAGTTAGTCTCCCGCGCGGACTAGCAGTACTAAGTCAATGCGAACACTTGTCGAGCACGAGTGACAAAAAGTCAATGCGAACAGGAAGACGAGCAGACGTGAGCCGTGACTTCCAGAATCATGGAACCGACTCGTGTTGCAGTATCTTGCACGACTGCATGACTTAGGGGCTTCACAGGTATCCTTATCCTTCAACTGCGCGAGGTTACGAGAATACTACTTGATCAGTGGACTAAGACTGTTGCAGTGGATAGTCGGCTCTATATCCTTGCATTACCTGTGGGGGCAGTATCCAATGCAGCAGGAGCCGCGGCCCTCGATGCAGAAAGTGCTTTGCCCGATCCTGAGTGATTGCCCGTTCCTTGCTTCACCTGGGATGGATGGCAGATGTCGCATCGTGTCGCGACGCATTCCGCGCGGCGATCGAGGGATGCCCGCACATTATTTCCAATAGTTGAGCTTACACAGCGCCTTACCGTCCTGCGCACCCTCCCCAGGAAGCTCCCCGTCCCCCACCACTACCACGGATTACCTTCGGGGATCATCCGGTAAAATTCGAACGATATACAGGGAAGATTAGCAAGGAAAAACCTACCACGGATTCCTGAGCATCCTTGTTTCACACTGTTTCGAAGCAGCTGCTCGAGCCGTCATCAAGAGTTCGACAACAATTGTGTGCCGCATCGCATCGCATTTCTCAGTCATAGTCAGTGTCAGAGTGTCATGGCTGAAGAGGGTCGGGCCTTGTTCGAGTACAGCCGACGTGGCAAACTGGAAGATGTCCGGGAGGAGCTTGCAAACGGAGGGTCACCCGACTCTTATTTCAGTTACGACGGGAGCACCGCACTTCTGGTTGCTGCACGTGGCGGTCACGTCGGAGTTGTCGCTGCACTTTTGGAGGCAAGGGCGGACCTGACTGTACGCTCCGAAGACGGCAGCGATGCCTTGTTGCATGCAGCCAGCGGTGGGAGCAGTGACGTCATCCAAATTCTTTTGAGTTCTTCGGCGGACCCTCAGACACTGAACGAGGATGAGGTGTCCCCTCTCATTCTAGCCGCCCACTACGGACACAGTGCAGCCGTTCAAGTACTGCTGCAGGCGCACGCAGACCCCAACTACGTTGCTCCGGGCTGGGGTTCAGCTTTGGACTCTGCTCAGGGACAGTGTGCGACCTTGTTGCTGCAGCACGGAGCATGCCGACAGGACGCGGCTGCCCAGCCTTCCCGGCCGCTCAAAGCGGGTGAGCACTTCATGTACGACTGTTTGGATGATCCCCATCAAGCAGAGGCTGCTCTCCGACAGTTTGCTGTGAGGCGTGAGAGCACGAACGGAACCGAGCCTGCTGGCATTTGCAGGCGTCGTGCCGGGGCACAAGCCAAGTGCAGAATTGCTTGAGGAACATGTCGTACCGTTCCGGAAGTTGTGGAGTTGAAGACAACCTAGATGCTCGAAGCAGATCCTGCTAATGGCAGCTTGCCTGATCGGATCAGTCGATGCAGAGCTACGTATTGCACTTGCCTGGAACATCCCGCTTCCACGCACTTCTGGCGAACAGAAGCACCACATCGTTGTTTCTAATTGTAGGCGAAGAGACAACCAACTCACGTTGCACCCTCGGGCACGGAGCAAAACGGTCGTGCATCGGCAGTGGTAGGCATTGTTTGTTGGCACGCAGCTGCAGGTGACTCTGTTTTTTTCCGTCATGCCTGCTTACACCGAGCATGAAGCAGATAGCTCGTTTAGTTATATATACATAGTTGCTGTACGTTTTCCTTGCAGGGGTGGCGACAACTTTCTATTCGGAGTAGAAAATCAATCCGCGTTGTTGGTAGATGAACGAATGTTTGCTTCCACCGTTTTTGCACCGGGAACCTGGCAGTAACAGGGTTCAGCTGACTTCAGAATGCAGGCACGAAATCGGAGGAATGTGGCGGGATACGTTTCATCAGCACTCCTCCGAAGCTTTCTGAGTCTAGTCTTTAGAGAGAGAGAGAGAGAGAGATCGAGCCTTTGCATACATGCCTCTGCTCCCGGAGCTGAATTATCAGCAGCCAAGCATTCACACCTGTTCATGTGTCATGTTTGTGTTCCCCACTCGGAAAGCAGGCGTGATGAGGCTTGCTGATGATTAACTTCTCAATCGTAGCACGTACTCCAAGTTTTTTCGACCTAGACCTAGTGGTGTCGGTCTCATCAAGCAGAGTCCCGAGAGTAAGCAGAAAGAAGCACTAAACCCCGAAGGTGACCATCAGCCTCGTGCTACTCAGACGCCTTGCCCATGCCAAGCTGTGAGAATCGAAGCCGTAGGGCCATACCAAGCTAGTTCATTTCACCATCAACACTACCGTAAGCAGCTCTTCAAGCTATCGCTCGGCTACTTCTTAGGTCATCAGTGGCTGGAGCTATCCAGAACCTCCAGCCGCTTCTCGAAGCACCAACTTGTGCCTCGGCAGGAAATAAGGAAAGGGTTTGGATGTAAGATTCAAGCGATTTCAGAAGGCTGTTTGCTTGAATCTTCATCTTGGCTCTGGGAGGGCGGCATAGCGCGAGGGAATGGAAGGACGAGTTGTGGCCGTTGTCGTTTCACGGTTCCTGCGATCATCGACCCTCACCTTGCTTCACTCTGGTTTGAGTTTGTGCGGTGCAACATCGCACATGCCCAACAAGTAGCAGCAAACGACTGGAACAGAAAATGCCTTACCGTGCAACCGTGAATTCCTGACATCATTGCACACGGATTATTCGACTTTAACGTCAAAGCACTTCTTCGGGTGCAGTGCCTCGGGCAAGTAACGCTTACTGACTCGTGGCGTGCGCTTTGATTATGTCCGTGTTTTCAGGGTTGTTGCCGATCTGAAACTTGAGCGACTAATTGCACGGTGCGGATAAAGCGAAGTGATGGCAACCGAATGAGCTCTTCTCTCCTTTCAGGAGAGCTTGCTGCAGTTCCATCGAATCAACCCGCTGGCTCAGGCAAAGGGCATGGTCGTTGAAAGCAAACATATATGAACACATGTATCTGCATCTACTCTACTCATTATGTAGCCCCACTGTCTGTACAAGTGCATGCGTAGGATCATCAAAAAACCAGTTGCAAGTATTGGAAGCATGCACACACAATTAAACATGCGCGTGTAGATAAATGAAAATATACAAGTACAAAGATGAAGAACATGCTCTTATGTATACACACATGTTTCATGAGGGGCCTGAGGGGCCGAGCCGCATGTGTTGCGTGGCGCTGCTAGACACTTTGGATGCAACGGTAGAGGGAGAGAGAAGAAGAGATTTTATAACCCCAAAAACCTAAAGGCCATCATTTCGGCAACGCCAGAGCGAATAGCATGTTGATTCATCTTTCATCGTTTTTCATCTCTCGGAGCATTTTTCATCGTTTCTCATCTCTCGGAGTATCTGCGTGAAGCGTCGCAAAGACTTGAAAATGAAGCCGGCTGCCGTCATACATATGCTCTCCCCTCGGAACTTCAAAATTGGATCATACACCAGAAGCCCAAACGTAGGAGGATTGGCGGCGGTATCGCGGCACTTCGCAGTAGTTCATGGGGGGGGGGGTTTAGCATATAAATATATATATATATATACACACACACACAGCCTCACGCGTTGCCTGGCGCTGCTAGACTCTCTGGATGCAACGGCAGCGAGCGAGAGAGAGAGAGAGATATGTCTTCTTGCGGACGCAACGAAGGGAAAGTCTTCGCCAAGCGGGTCGTAGCATGCTGCCTGTTGCAGCACGGTGCCTCTGTTGGACACTTTGCCATGACAAGTTTGTCAATGGCGAATGCACTACTCTCTACTCTGTAAGATCTCATTGTCGTCAGCCTGGCACGCAATGTACCAAATCAGGTATGTTTCAGTTGGTAGAGCGGCGAGCTCTGACGCAGTGCAAATACGGGAAGTGCGCGAGTCGTCAAGAAGCAGCAGGGCATCGGCACTTTTCCAGACACAGACGTAGTGCCCCTGATCAACTGATGCGCCCCGGTGCAAAATCAGAGCCACTGCCTTGAAGCGACAAGGACGGACATCAAGGTTGTGAGTGTTGCAGAATTGCGGCACTGTGATGTCATCAAGAAGGCCAGTGATCGGCCTGAGGTCCTTGCCAACAGGATTTCGGCGCTGTGTGCGCGCTGCACGATGCTGAAACCTGAGGAGCTGTATACCAAGAGAAGTGATGGACTGATATGGTGCAAGTGCATGAGTCTTCGGCTGCTTGTGCCAGGCCCGAATGCAATCGGCCAAGCTGGTTTGCCCCTGAATCGGCAATGGCAAAGCATGATGCAAACTACCTTCATCGTGCAACTGTAGATCTCGGCCTTCATCCAATTTGCGGGCTTCCCACCTCCCCTCGACGGAGGGTAGCCGCAGTCTGCACAGCATATGAGCGAGGAATTCGGCAGCATCATTTTGGACAAACAAACGCGGCCAAGGACTCATCAGCATCACCCAGTGCAAATTGTGACTTGGATCGAAATTCTGAGGCTGGCGCTGGATGGCTCCCCAAAGGTGACACAACTGTCCAAGTGCAGCCTTATCACTCGGTTGGAGCATCGCCAGTACATGAAGAATGGCATGGATTGCACTGTTCATGTAACATGTGGTGGAGCTCGGATTAGCAAGACTAATGGACTGCAAAGGAAAGTCAAGGAGAAGGCATTGAGGAGTCGACCTCACCAAATCTGGGCCTGGATGCTCTGAGCAAGGCCCGAGTAAGGATGACGGTCGCGCCGCAGCCGGGCGGCGAGCAGGTGGAGCGCTGCACTGCCGATGAGATCGTTGAAAATAGTCCACAATTTGTCTCCGGGTCCGCGAAGCTGAATTTCCACCAGGAACTGTACCCACTCCGTTTGGTAGGATTCCCGGAGTTGCCTCATCGATTTGAAGGTCTTGATGGAGTCCCCGGTGATCAGCTCCTCCATCTCCTGAATCATGTTCAAGAGCTCCTCCGTTGATCGAGATTCGGTACGCTCCGTCAGCACCAGTTCCTGCTTGGTCGGACACCAGTGCATGTAATTCCAGTGGCCCAGGCTGTCCAGCCATTGGAGTCGCTGTGCCGTGGTCTTGGTCTCCTCGCTTCGCTGAAAGGCCTGAAGACGAGTCTTCCATTCTTTGAGCAGACCCCTGATCATGAGCTCTCGGAGAGACATAGTAAGTTTCTCCGGAGTTTTCTCCATAGTCTGGCGCCATTCCGTCGCGAGTTGGAGCATCATGGGAAGAACGGAGTACTCCTGATTGGGCTTGAAATACATGTAAAGCCTGGTGTCCTGCTGGAGAGTGTGGAGCTGCTGCTCGTGGCGAAGTGCCATCCTTGCCACCTGCATCAATAGACCAGTGGAGTACTCGGTGGACGTGTGACTCGACGTTGTCCAGCTGCTTGTGCTCCAGGAGTCTGGGTCCGTCCAGGTGTCGAGGCTCCAGGGATCCTTCTGAGCAGACATCTCGGAGGCGGGCTGCTGACCTTTGTTCTTGGATTTCCCTTTGCCCTTGCCCTTGCCCTTGCCCGAGTGCTTCCCCTGTCCTTTGGCTTTGCCTTTGCCCTTCGGAGCTGATTCCATGTTTGCCTGCCGCGGCTGCGAAGACTCGCTGGGCACGGGAGTCATCACGGTGTCCTTCTGCTCTGGCCTCGGACGTTTGTTCGCAGCTTGGCCGCTCGTCGCCGTGTTGAAGGAGGAGAACAGGTGACCGAACATCTCCAATTCCTGTTGTCTGGCACTGGGCGGTCCTTCCGTCTGCGATGGAGTCGGGGGCGCCATGTTGGTCGCGGCAGGCAAGGTCATGGCTTCTGTGCTCAAGGTAACAGGCAACTGTGATGACAGGGCAACGCTTCCAGTGCTGTTGGAGATCGAAGCGTGTGGCGAGGCAGAAATGACAAGGTTTCGTGAGGGTTCGTCGGAGCAGGCGCGCCCTCTTGAGAATAAAGTCCTGCGAGGCAAGCCACTGGGGGTGTTCATGTGTCAAATGTACCTTAAGACCAGCAGGAGAAGAACACCATTGCGAGCACTCAGGGCAATGATGGCGGACCTCATCACGAAGTTCAGGATCCTGCATAACAGCCTGCCATCCCCGGGTGCGTAATTGTTGCATCAGCTCGACACGCTGCACCATTGGGACAGCGGCGGCTGGACCAACTCGCTTCTGCCATTGCGGGTTACGGATCTCGACCTGAGTGCCAGTGCCAGGCTTATTCAGACCAAGCGCAACGGTCACATCCGCTGGCAGCTTGGGTGCTGTGATCGATCCTGAGGAGGGTGCTTGTTCGACAGCGGAACCAGCCTGGGGCGGAGGCTGTGTGGGTGTGACTTCCTGAGGGATGTCAGCCGATGCAACGAACTCTGCTTTGGGGGTGGACCCACGCTGGGCAAGTCGCGCACTGGATGTAACAGCGGCCGTACCTGAATGGATTGCCGGACCAGCGGTCTCCAGCTGCTCGACAACCGAGGCAGGGGCAGGGATTGGTGTCGAGGCCATGAGGTTGATATCCGGATCGAGTTGCGGACACCATCCCTGCTCGATGTGGGCACGGAGGCCAGTCCACCTGGAGAAGCGTTTGTGACATAGCTGACAAATAGGGAGTCCCGCTGTGGAATGTTGCAAGCGATCGAAACTGACCTGATGCCTGCGTGTAGGGGCTTTGAGCCCATGAGCTGAGGACTGATGCATACGGAATATCCGATAGTCTTCAAAGACTGCTGAACAATCGGGACACTTGAAAGTGTGTGTAGTGGAGGGGATAGGAATGGATTCGGAGTGGGTAGCTGAGTCTGCAAGTAAATGGTGCCGTTGCAACCAATGCACGGTGTCTCGCTGTATGGCTCCTCCACATTGCAGCTGCTGCAAGTTGGCAAGTAGTCTGTTTTGTGACTGTTGCAGAACGTCGCGCATAGATCTAACTCTGAGGCGTTCGTGAAGTGCCTCGGTGGTTTCATGTGTGAGATGTGAGGGGGCTTTGGCAACGGCACGAAGTTGTCTGGTGGCAACAGCCTGGAGTTGATGGATCTGTTTCTCCGTCAGATTCAACACATGTAAGCCATAGGTGAGAACTGCAGGTATACAAGCCGCCCAGAGCCTAAGTCGAAGACTCAGTCTGGGGGCATTAGCACATGTGAGAAGTGGCCGAAGGTGTCCATATGCGATCCACGCAGCTTGTATGCGATGTGTGATGGAGCTTGCCACTGGCTGTTGATAGGAAATGATAAGACCCAAGTATTTGTGCTCATCCTTTACCGGGATGTTGAACAGGCGTCCTGCAGGTGTCCGGAAGGTGAGCAGCTGTCCCTCCTTGGTCTGACGAACGTGGCGTCTTTTCCATGGTGCAGCAAAGCCTTTAGTGAACCGCAACAAGAAGGCTGATTTAAGAGTGTTGATGTTAAGTTCCGCGTCTATCAGCACATCAAGCAGGTGTCCCAGATTGGTTAGAAGCTTGTCGAGTTGTGCAGTGGTGGTAATCAATTCACCACCATGTATGTCATCCGCGAAAGCGGTAATCATGGCTCTAACCCAATCACGATCACCTATGCGGTCTCCCAGGTCATGCAGCAGCACAATAGTGGCCATGCTCCACACTAATGGGGAGATTCTGCAGCCCTGGCGTAGTCCACGCCCCGCTGAGATCCTTGCCTTCATACCCTGTATCGTCAGGTGATAGGTAAGACCTCTGTGCCAACAAATCACCAACTCGCGGACTGATGTCGGGACTTTGGCTAGCTGTAATGCCCGATCAATCAATGCCCAGGGTAAAACATCGAATGCGTTCGAAAGGTCCAAACTCAGTTGTAGGCCGCCTCCTGATGCTAGGGGCTTGGCTGCGGGCGCAAAGCGAGAATCGAGAATGTTGTAGGGTGCAGGAGTGCACATTGCGATGACCTTGTCACAATGTGCAAAGACTCGCGACAAAGCAGCGTCTGTGGATCGTCCTGGTGAGTATGCGAACTGCGGTTCAGCTTCGAGGAGCGCGACTAAGTAGGGTCGCAGCTCTTTTTGGACCAGGCCAGCTGCAACACGTCCAGAAATTTCAGTGATACCGAGTGGGCGTAGGTCCTTGGGTTTCATGGGATGTGTCACTTTTGGTAGCAAGCTCATCCAAGCATCGCGCCAATCGGATGGCACCTGGTCAAGTGAGGAGATCGTGTGATGTAGCCAGGGTGCAAGCTCACGAGCACATAAGACCCAGGAACTGCTCGTCGCCTTGCCTGGAGGTGCAGCTTTGTGCGGCGGTAGCTTCAGCAAGCCTTCGAGCACATCAGTGACAGTGAAGTCAGGGAAGGAAATGGTGGAAGAGATCGTAGGTAATGGTGGACCTGTAGTTGAGATCGTGGTGTCAGTGTCCGGAGAGGCGTACAGGGCCTCATAGTGTTGTCTCAAGCAATCCAACTGTTGCTGGGGCGTCCAAAGCTCGCCCTGGGGCCCTCGCAGTTGAAGGCGCGGGCGCCTTTTCTGTGGAGAGAGACTGGCGGCAAGGCGAAAGAGCGCTCTAACGTCTCCTTTGTCCGTGGCCTCTTGCATGCTCTGTGTGAGTGCCTGCATTTGCGCCGTCTTGGCAGCTCGCGTAGCTCGCCTGAATTCACGGTGTGCTCGCTTGAACTGACTGAAGGCTCGCCAGGCAGAGAAGAGTCGTTGCCGGCCTGGTGGGGGTTGCTTCCACTCCCTGTAGGCAGCCCACATTTGCCGAACCGATAGAGAGACGGTGGGGTGCTGCCAGGCACCTGGTTTGGTAGTGTGCTTGGTAGAGGGGAAGAGTCGGACAGACGCATCATGCAGGTACTGATTGACTTCAGAGATGGTGCGGCAGGGATTGGCAGCAAGCCAGTCCCGTACATTCTGTCGAAAGGCATTAGCCTTGGGGTCTGCATCTGAGCGACATACTCGGAGGAGCTCCGCTTTGTCGATGGAGGATTGGGGCTGAGGTCGCCTTGCAACATAACATTTGGTGGGGACTGGAACGCTGAAGAGAACTGGCCAATGCCTACCACCACCTCGCCAACGCGTGAGGGGCCAGTCCACGGGACCAGCCTGTCGAGCTTTGGTGTCACTCTGGTCTTGTCGCAGGAATACATGATCGATGAGGGTGTTTCCCTGTGTCGACCGATACGTTGCCCTCGCACGCCTGGTCCACGAATTGAGATGCAACAGCCTAAGGTCTTGGACGACATCCATCATTTCTTTAGAGTCTGGCTGTGACCTCTTCATGAAGGGAGCAGCTCTAGCACCAACCCGCTGTGCATGAGGTTGTAAGTTGGTGTTAAAGTCCCCAGCAACAATCCAAAGGCTTCGTCGTGGGAGGCTTCCAAGGAGCTGACGCCAGGATCGCCAGACTGCGCGTCGAAGTTGGCGCGAATCGCTGGTTTGCGGATCTTTGCCTCTGGTCAGGCTTGTGGTCCAAACTTTCTGATAAAGGTTTATCAGATCAAGCTGGCACGTAGAGCCTAGCTGAACTCGGGCGTGCAGTAGCCGGCCTGAGATGGGTGAAGCCGTGAGGATGGAAGCGGAGGAGCAGAGATCAACAGAGATCAATATCGCAACACCACCTGACGCCGCAGGTTCTGCCGGTGTGGATACAACATGCCACTGGTCAGTAGAGTAATCGGAAATTGATTGCCAGTGCGTTTCTTGCAAAAAGATTACGTGAGGTCGAACAGATGGGTGCTGTTCCGCAAGAAAGTGCATCAACTCCGCATACGCATCCTGGCTGAGGCCTCCTATGTTATACGTAACACACCGGAGGCGAGTAGGATCCTCAGAGGAAGAGGCCTCGGGCTGTGTTGGGGGACCCACGGTTGCCGGAGCGGGGTTACGGTGTATAGCCTGCGTGTGAAGCGTATGTAGAGAGTGCCATCGGCCCCTATAGAATGTGCCCTGCAGCGGGCTGGCTGCTGCTCGTTGAACTGCACGATTGTAAGCTCTTTTCCCCTGTGGGGTGGGCGCGGAAAGGTGGGGCACTATAGAGTTGGCAGCGGCAGCAGAATATGCAGGGGTGGTCCAGAGATGGCATGCAAGAGTCAGCCGCCCAAGGAAGCGGAGAAAGAATGGTAGCTCCTGGCTAGGGCGAGGTCGTTGTGGTACGCACATTGAAGAGGCAGAGGTCGTATCTACGACTGAGGCCTGTGCAGTTACAGGTCGCCTGGGACATTGAAGAAAAGTAGAGGTAGTGCAACTAAAGTGGTGGCTTCGCGAAGCAGCACCAGGTTGGGGGATCCCGAGCTTCCCTCCACTGTTATCTGGACAATCATGGTGACACGAGATCAACCTGAATGGCAACAGTGGAGGTTCAGAGTGCGGTGGGTTCCAGCACTCAACCCTCGGCTCAGTGGAGAAGTCGCAAAATTCATCCCTGGAGGTCCCAGAATGGACAAGGTGTCTGCATAATGCGGTGACTTCCGGGACAGAATCATTATCTTCTCCATGCCCGGATTTGGGACCGGGCTCAGCGACTGATACATTGGTACATGTAGGTGCAGTGTGTCCATGTGTAAAATAAATCCAAGGCAGGATTGTTGAGCTGAGCTCACACCACAAGTGCAGACAAGCTAGGGGCGCAACTGTGTTCGCACCACGACTGCGGGACGCGAGGCACTTGCCGACCTGGAGGACATTATAAGGGAGTAACAGAGCGTGCTTCAAGAGGCATTGACATAGACTGGGCTTGCAGGCATGTCGATGAAAGCGCGACCGGCGAACTGACCTTGGTCGTCGAGCAGGCAGTCTGAATTTGGAAACACGTAGTTGACGACCAAAGCACAAGCGGGTGGTCGCGGCGGCACTGAAGCATGTGCAAGGACCGCAAGGGCATGCCGTGTAATCCTCGATCGCAACTGCACTGTCGGTGGTGCCTGCCTCTGCTGGGGCCGACGGCAGGGCCTCCTTAGACCCTGCACTGGCCGAACTCATAGGGCCTAAGGCAGTTCCCCGTTTTGGGGTCTCAACAGGACTCTCATCAGGGCTGATGTTCAACCACTTGCTACGTCGCTTTGGGCGACTGGCCGGGTCAGGCTTGAAGTCAGGATCATACACATCGGCCGTCTGTGCAGGGCGCTGCTTCTGGCCGAGCTTGGCCTTTGGTCCACGCTTCTTCTTCGAGAGCTGAGACGATCCACGGGTGGCTTTGTCACCCCCGTGTTTGGTCGGTTTCCTGAGTTTCTTCACCGTCTCTGAAGGATTAGCCTGCTTCTCGTCAGTCAAAGTAGCGGTGGTAGGCAACGGCTCTGTAGTGACCAGGGTGTCCAGGTTAAGAGGTTGGGCCTCTGGGGCCACAGCAGCAGCAACGGGCTGTGATCCAGCATTGCCTGAAGCCTGCAGAGTGGTTCCATCTGAGGTCGGGGTCATCGGAGGCGACGTGGAGATGGCCGGTCCTTTGGTAGATAGATTTACTGAGGCTGGCTTCTTCTTTGGCACCGTCTTGGGGAGTCGGTAGACGATCCCAGCCGGAGTGGTGCCTTCGGCCGTCTCTTCAAGAACCTCCTGGGCTAGCCGTCGTCGAGGCAGGGGGGTGCGACCAAGCGGGTCCTTGAGCTCAGAGCGGAAAGCCTCAGAGGCAGTGGTGGGATTCTCCAGGCTGTCGGTAGTAGTTGCAGGAGGTGCCAGCTCAGGTGCCACAGATGAGCTTGTCGGTGTCAGTGGCGGCGGCAAGGGTCGTACAGAACGAAGAACCAAGCTGCCCACCGTCATTTCGCTGGGGTACTCTCCAAGTTCATCCGAAAAGGATGACAGGGTTGAGGCACTGTCACTGGAGATCTCGAGCCTTTCGGTCCGCTTGCTTTTCTTCTTCGGAGGGCGTGCCGCAGTCGCACCATGTGCAGTGGGGGGCATCGTAGACTCAGGTCGAGCTGTGTGATCCATCTCCATTGGCTTGGTGCCCGTAGGAGTCGAAGGTGGTGAGGCCAATTCGGAGCCTGGATTGGCATCCGAGGGTTGTCCAGTCGCCTTTGTCATGATTGCTGCACATCCAAGACCGGCGAAGGAGGTGTCCTGAGAGGAGCTGGCAGGCCCGTGCAGATAGGGACGAAGGTACACGGTGGTAGGAGGAGGCCTTCTCGTCTTCCACCGAATAAACTTGAGTCGTTGTAGCTCACTTGTCGTGAGCTTTGCTGCCGCACTTGGAGGGCCAAAAGGTTCCAGCCAGTATTCGCCACTAGCCGGTTTGGCTGGTAGGCCGTAACAGCTGCGCGGGAGATGAGCACCATCTGTCTCAGAGAGGGCCGCAGTTGCAGCAGAGGTGGCTTCATCATTGGTTCTGCTTGCTCGGCCCATAGGTTGCTCCTCAACACTGATCACTTCCTCAGAGGGAGCCTTGGTAGCCGCTGACTCGAGCTCAGTGTCAGTGTAGAGACGGTTGAGCTGACAGGGTCGCTTGCTTTGTCGCCTCCGCCTCCTTTCTTGTCGGTCCATGAAGTCGTGGCCACACAATATCCGAAGGGCTTCAGACAAGAAGTCAGGACAGGGCAGGGCAGACCTCTGCCATGGACTCCCGGGGGAGCTGGAAAAAGAAAGCCTGTAGTAAGAGTCCATTGAGCCGACATCAGCAGTACACTGTGATATAGCGGAAGGAGTTAATGGGCGATACCTATGCAGCAAGCAAGGCAGGCCATGGTTCAAGGGCCCGACGTCCAGAAGGAGAAGATGCCACGACGGAGGCTGGTACGCGCCCAGTCCACAAATCAGACCTGAAGAAGCTGAGCGAGAGTGGAATGACAATGGGCCGAGTGCAGTGACTGGCCACACAGAGGCAGGCCTACTTTTTGCTAGCACACAGAGGTGCGTAGTCCGTTTCAAGTGCATGGGCTCTTCATCACAAAGTGATGGGAGATCACAGCCTATTGTCAAGCCAATTGGATCATCGAGACCGCTGATCAGTAGTAGAAGATGCCTGTAGGGAGCGCTTTGGACTTCGACTGCGACTCGCCTGATGCTGGGATGGTAGGCCTTGGGTCGAGGCCGAGTTCGCAGCTTCAGAACGGAGCTGAGCCTGCCAGCGTCGATAAGCCTGCTCTGCGACTTGGGCTGCATAGAGAAGGTCGCTCTCTGTAGGGGAGTCGGAGCTGACATCCTCCTGTCGAGTGGCAGCCCCTGTTTCCTTGTCAGGTGCAGCAAACACGGGGAGATCGGTAGTTGTATCGGCTCGTGACTCTTGATTGGTCCCTGCCATGGTCGCACCCGGCTGTTCGGCCATGAGCCGCAAGTACAGGTGGCACCAGAGGCTACTGGGGCTGACTTCGGCAAGCTCGGTGCTTTGAGGCCCACACGACTAGCGCGAGGAGATGTCCGTGCTCGCCGTGTCACAGACTGCTGAGATATTGGGGAACCGCACTGGTGAAGAGCAGTGAGGGACCAAGGGGCCGACGTCCAAAAATTCGTTCGATATGGCGTGTCCACCTCGGAGGCTGGCTTATAGAGCATATCAGGAGACAAGACTGGGTAGGCTGCCATACACCGAGCAAGGAGTGCATCACAAGCATGGTACTCAATAATTGGCGGCGCTTTTTGCATCCGATGCATGGGGCAGATAAGAGGTAGTCTCGACCCACCATAATGGATGCGGCATAGTCGGCTGTTGCTCCTGCAGGAAGAAGAAGGGACAAGAGGTGTACCGCTACCATGTGGAGGAGCCGTCATACGGATGCAGCCGAATGGTGATGGCCAGAACCGTGCTGGGGGTCGCCGTTTCCAGCATCGAGACATCAATGGGTATCTCCAGGGTAACCTCTTGTCTGCCCTCGGAGCTAGTGAGAACTTGCCCCCGAACAGGCCTGGACGTTGCAGGAGGGATCTCCCAAAACATGGATTGAGAGCGCGGAGGGCTGCGGCTGCGTGAGCGCCGGTCGCCACTCCAGCTATGTCTGGTACGCCGTACAGGACCAGGTGGTGTAGAACCAATGGCCATAGTCTCAGGTGTGCGTGGCATATGGACACCACCAGCGTCCACTGGTACCGGTGTCGGAGGGCCGGCCGGTGCTGTGGTCGGGGGTTCCACAAGGTCCGTGAGCGGTGCCCTATCGTCGAGTTCCGAGGAGGAGGGATCCGAGTTGACCATGGCACACACAGAGATAAGGAGTTACCACTCACAGCAATCCAGGATAGCCTCGGAAATACCTCCAGGCGAGCTTGGGCCCTAGCGTCAATATGGAGCTGGCATGAGGCACAGTGCCAAGCAGCACATAAGGCAGTTCCAACCGGAGATAGAAGCACATGCTGCAATGTGACAGGCTGTGAGGCCCCGACGTGATACACTGGCCCCTGGTGGAAGAGGGTGCAGCACCTACTGAAGGCTAGCGAGGCGTGAGCCCTGTGGGTGTACAGCGTCCACCCAAGTAAGGGCTGTGCACGTGAGAAGCCAATGGTAGACCTTGGAGCAGCACAAGATGCAAACTCAGAGCACAGATGACATGTGCTCGACAGTGCATTGTCCCTGCATGGTGGGCCAGTGCTCTTTTCATCGGCAGCGGGATGAAGTCGGGTTAGTGACGGCAGGAAGAGGTCCCTGCAAAACGTCCTCCCTGGATCCCGGGAAGAGAGAAAGGCCCTAGCCTCCACAGCGGCTATGTGCTGCGAGAACACTTGCCAAGAAAGATCTGCTAGATCACGGCGGTGGTGGTCGTGGCCTCTCCACCAGGGCGCTGACACGCACGATGTACTGGATCCCTGGCGGGGGTATCGGCACCATAACAGGGGCGGTCTGCTGAGGCGACATGCTTCGAGCCGCCGCAGTGGAGACCCGTGGCACAGTAGAGGAAGGCCTAGCCACGGCATCCGCAACTGAGACTCCCATCTCCGCCGAGGCTCGTAGAGCTCGTCCTGGATCCGTTGTGAAGGAAGCAGGGATGGATCCTGTCGAAGTAGCTGGATCAGGTGGCGGGGGACCAGCCGGTCGCAAGTGGGAAGCCGAAGTTCCACCCAGCCTGGCAGGCAGATTGACGGGAGTGGGTGGTGGAGGTCCAGCAGGAAGGGAGGGCGCTGCGGATCCACCGGAGCCGCTGGCTGGCTCTGGCTCAGAGTCTGGGGAAGGTGGAGACGAGGTATCGCTAGATGACTCCTCCACTGCAGGGGCTGCCTTAGCCTTCGCTTTGGCCTTGCCACGACCTCGACTGCTTCCAACTTCGGCCACTCGTCTCTTCGCCATTGCCCAGCGCTCACTTCAAGGGAGTGGGATCGGCCGCAGAAGTCCCTACGCAGAGCCCAATGTGCTAGAGGTGTCACGTTGGAATGCGGCAGAGCTGGCTCAAGGGAGCGAAACACATGGCAGGTCGGACTAGTCCAAAGTGGCGATGCAAAGGCTGAGCTGTGGACGGGAGTCCAAGCAGGTAATGCGGAAGCAGAGTCAGAAAGACCTGGGTGCATGGGTAGCCATCTGGTATCAGTAGCTTGCGATGCAGATCGACCTTGTGCTAAGGAAGGAACGCCCGACGAGGAGACCTCAAGCCGTGGGCGGTGCAACGGAGATACTGGTATCATAGTCCAAGGCTTGGTACTACCAGGAGCTGAGCTCGGCACACCAGGCGAGGGAGCCTCAAACCTTGGTGGCATCAAGCAGCGAGAGCAATAAGGCCACAGAGGGGTGACCAAGGCGGCGGCCAAAGGCGAGGAGTCCTCAAACCTGAGCGTAGAGTCGTGTGACCGAGCATACCAGTTTGGTAGCGGAGCTGATGGTAGCCAAATCAGGCCAAGGCTGTCACCTAGAAGATCTCGGCACCTGGAGTAAGCAAGAAGCCAGGCCAAATGCTTGGCTGTATTACACCCTAAGCTGAGTGTAGCACAAGTCCCCTGGTCACAGGGTCCATGCAAGGGAGCTAGCCCGCCCAAGCAGTTTGGAGCAAACAATTCGCATGACGAAAAGTGGCACGGCTCTATCGGCAAACGGAGAGGGCTTCCTTTCTTTGGCAAAAGCTGCAATTGCTGCAACTTGCTTATATGTTTAAAGAGCATCACCGCGTGCTGATCCTCAGTCCATGGTCTCCAGATGAATAACTCGTGGTAACCTTGAGGCACCGCTGCGCTCACACTATTGTTGCTGCCTAGGCAGGCTTCTGTGCGATAGTGAGGCCACGGCGGCGGTAAGAAGTCAGAGTCGTAGTCCAATGTGTGGAGCATGACAGGCCGCGGCAGTGCACGAGGCTGTGCGGTCAGCATGTCGGTACTACGTGCTGAGACTGACAGCTTCGCCTGCGAGTGAGTAGAGGCACCTGCCTCCACATGAAGACTCTGAGTTGCTTGCCATTGGAACGAGCTCTGAGCTATGGTCGGTATAGCGAGCCTTGGTAGATCACGATCCATAGAGAAACTCCGCGGTACCAACAAGCCGAGTGGACCGAATGTGCCTGGCGTTGGCCCGTTGCCCTGAATGCTTGCAGATGCTATGCACAGTAATAGCATACGGAGCAGAATGCAGACTCGGCCCGAGCTAGGCCCCTCACCAGCAGCATTGCATAAGTGTCGGCCGTTGACTTTGTTGTGCTGCAGGGTAACGAAGTAGTCGCCATTCAAGGCAAGTCGCCGTACATGGCCAGGAGGCACAGGGGCCATGGCACAAGTACGTAAGCCCTGAAGAGCACAGCACCAAGCAGCAAGCAGCAGGACCCCGCACAACACACAACACCACACCACACCAAGCCCCACTCCAGGGGCAATCGACTCAATGGTTGAGTCGTCTAAGTCGCTGCTGAGCCTTAGAGAGAGATATGTATATACATAGACACATGCATGCATGTCCGCAGACACATACATAGAATCATACATACATACACTTGTACATACGTACAGTCGTACGTACATACGTACATGCATACATTTATGTATATGACGCAGGTGTACATACTTGAGCAGCTGGCGTTCGAGGTCTCCTTCACCCCTCCCCAGGAGGGCCCCCCTTTCCGAAGGTGCGGTCGGTCGTCAGATGTGGATCTGTGCACACATACTTTTCTACACACATGCACGCATGCATAAACATGTACATGCAAGGACACACAGAGACCTACGTACCGACGTACATGTGCATTTACGTGTAGATTTATATGTATATGTAGATGTAGACGTAGATGTATGTGTCTGTGTAGGTGTGTATGTATGAATGTATAAACTAATGTATTTGAATATATATATATATATATATATATACATGCATGCATGCATACATACATACACATACATATGCACATACGCGCGGGTATACATGTCATCGACATGAATCTATCCCATATCTCTGTGTGACTGTCTGCCTATACATATATGCGTGTGCAGAAAGTTTAGTTGAGCCTTGAAAGGGATGTCGGCAGGCCGTCCTGTTGGACCTTGCCTCCCAGCTTCCGCTGAAGCAGCTGCGCAGCTGGGCATTGAATTCGTTTCGGGGCGTAGATGGGGCGCTGTCGTGTTTGGCATGGTTTGTTTCCGCCGTGCCGACTACGTAAGCTCCCTCGTTTCCGACGTTTCCGATGCCTAGGAGAGATGTCGAGTCTCTTCGAGTCCATGGACAAAGACGGGAACGGCATGCTCGATCAGGCTCTGAACTCATTCCTTGTCGCACAGTAGTTTCTTCAGCACCGAGGCTTCAGTCAGCAAACTCTGATGGCATCTTGCTTGGATCCAATAGTGTTTACCATGCTGCTCCTCATCGTCTAGAAAAGCTGGCAGGGCCAGTGGCTCCAGGCTCTCCAAAGAATCTCCCTGAACAGTCTTTCACCGACCGAAGCCTGCACTTCGTAATCCCAGTTGCTGGATAAATTGAGGTCCCCCTGCGTTTTCCTGAGTGTAACAGGGCATGACTAAGATCAGAATTCATTGGAGCCGTGAAAGGCTAACATGCAGCATTTTCTAGTAGTATATTGACATTGATAGTAGTGCAGCGTAAGGTAAAGTAATATACTATAGAATACACAGCAACACAGAGTAATATTCAGTTGTTGATGCAACGGTAAGCAAACTATGTCTGCAGTGATATACTTTTTCAGTAGATAGACCGGTATAGCATCAGATACTGTAGTACAGCATCATTACATAGCAGTATGTAACGAGGCACAGTTGATACAAAACTATATCCATATGTGTGCACATATATACATATCCATATATATATATATGGATATATATATATATATATATATATGTAGGTTTGCATATGTACATCTCACATACACACACATATGTATATATATATATATGTACATACACATGCACATAGCAACAAGAAAATGATATACAATAGCAAGTGCTGATTTCAAGCGAAATACGCAAGGTTACATGCGAACGCATATATATATATGTATGTATGCATGTATGTATGTATGTAAATAGTATAGTTATGTCTATATATATATGTGTATGGAGAGACAGATGTTCATACATATCCAGGAATATTGGTGTAGTCATGTATACGGAATCTCACAAGTTTCCATATAGATATACAGAAGGCATATACACGTAACAAGTAACTTCATGCGAGTATGAGCGTAAACATAAACATACACATCCATATAGGTATACAAGGCAAACGCAAATGTCAAGATCAAGGTAAATCAGAGTAGCTGTATGTATGTGTTGAACCCTCCCAACGACCTACCTGTAATTCTATTTAATGAAATACACGTGAATCTACACCTACATGATCGGTATTTGCAGCTATACCTGCATCGACATCTATATCTGGATCAGTCTGTCAGAATTTTTGCATCATATCTATCTATCTGTCTGTCCGTCTGTCTGTGTGTTTGTCCATATTACAGACCCCCGACAGCTCGAATCTGAAAGCAGGCGGAGTTGGCCGAGGGCCTGCGGCTGGGAGGCCGCGCATGTGTTCATCCGCCGAATTGCACAGAATTCGACTCCGTCAGGGTTCAGGGATGATTATGGTGTATGGTGCATGATCTCGGGTTTAGGGCTCTCTGTCTGAGCTTTGGGCTTTCACCGCGTAAAGCGAGCCGTTTTCTGGAAGGCTCGGAGAAAACGGTTCGTGACAGGGTTGCGAGGTGTTGACTGCACCCCTCAATCCAAAGCTTGACAGTCAGGTTCTCAGGTTCGGGTTCTCCAGGGTGTGTGTGGAGGCCCTTGTTCATTGCAGTGTGTGCATGCGAGAACCAAGTCTCCCTCCCTTGGCCCCTGCCTTTTGGATCTCCTTGTTGCAGGGACGGTGGATCCGGGTTTCATGCTGAGCACTGCCTCCATAGGTCATAAACTGTTCAGGATTGGCACCCGCGGCAGCAGCAGATACGGCCGAGCGCTTGGCCAAGGGTGCAGGCGGGCTGCTTCTACTAGAAGTCGGTCCATGGATTTTGATCCTGACTGAGGTAGTGTTCTTCATGCTTGTGCTACTTCATGAGTTGTCGTGCCGTTTTATCCTTCTTGATTACGTGCTATGCGAGCTTTGTGCGGCCGGAGAAGGATCCTGTGTGTGCGTTTTGGGTGATTGCTGGAGCTTTGTTGGGGGTCGAAGTCCAAGGAGTGATCGAATCGGGCGAAGATTGGTGCGGGTAGAATTGAGATGGCTTCACGAGGGAAAGCTGAGAGTCTCTCCCCAAGACGAGTGAGATGCCTCTGGTTTTTTGCAGGAGAACGACGAATAGTTGCAGCTCTTCATCCAAGTTTGGAATTGCGGCTTCGTAATGCGACGCCGGATGTGCAGATGATACACAACAAACGGAGTTGTTCTGTCTGTCTTCAGTTCCCAAGCTAAGCAGCCAAGTCTCTGTTTCGGCTGAAATGAGGCAGTGTTGCGGGATGTTGCGTGTCAGCGGGGCTCACAGTCCAGGAGCGGGTTTGCTTGGAAACTATGTAATAGAACTCCCCGAAATTTCTTAGCTTGGAAGTCCTGCAGTCCACGCCTTCTGCAATCGGCCCCTTCCTTCAGGCGGTCGTGTCGAGTTCTCGCGTTTCGTGGCTGCGCTCGCGCCGTCCTGCGAGGAAGGGCAGCTTAGAATGGAGGGGAACTTGGCATACCGGCTGGGGCTTCAGGCTGACGACTTGCAACAAGCTGATTTAGGAATTTAGGCTTTCTTTGGCGAGGTGGCCAGCATCGTTCAGTCATAAGCGGTTGTCATGATGCTGAGCTTCGGACGTTGCCATCAACCCGCCCAGCTGGAAGACTTGTCTGAGGGCCCCATGCACGTGTCCCACAAGAACCAAGGGCAGCATGAATCCCGCAGGAGCTCATAGATGACGAGCACCTTCGCAGCAGCTTCAATCGCTTAGATGCCTCTTGGCATGGATCTATGCAGGGAGGGTGTTGCTTGAATGAGGCGGGTTGAACACAGGAACGGGGTTCATCTGGTGAAGGCTTGAGAGCCGGGGCTTTGTAGTGACAGTGACAGGATGTTTCTCTCGCTTGTTGCAGATATATGTACATAGCCTGATGGATCGTGGCAGCAGTCGGTGAGAGAGTGCCAGTTTTGGGGCAGTGCGCACCCGGATCGGCACGGTCGCCCAGTGGCCCAGAGCGAAGTCACCTCAGTGGCCTACGCCGCTTGTCGCAGGCCAACGGCGATGGCTATGTGAGTCGCTGTCGCTTGGCTGCAGCACAGAGCCGACCATGCAATGTACAGGAGGCGAAACGCAAGGCAAGATGCGATCGGAATCTGCGCTGTACATGACATCCTTGATTTGGGGATCTGGCCGTGTTGGGTTCCTCTGGTCTACATTCCAAATCTGTTTAGCGGGTTGCGGCTATTTGGATTTACGTTCCGATTTTTGCCGTAGATGGAGTCATTCAGGGTCTGGTTGCTCCTTGGATTGTATTGAGGCCTATTGCAGATAATACCATCCGTCAGCCAAGATTTCTCTCTTGCAGTTCTGCCAAAGTCACCCCGCTTGCCTAATCCGGAGCCCTCTCAGGTGAGCTCCAGCGGCTGCTAGAGCGAGGATCCAAGGCATCCTCCACGCCAGAGGATCCTGTGGGGGTCATGTGGAGCTTTGGAGGTTTCGTAGATTTGTGGAATCAAGATCTCGATGTTTACTGCCAGTCACAAAGGGCAGGTTTGGGCGTTGGAATGTTGGGTTCAACTGCAGATTCTGTAGACTGGCTGCCACTGCTCATATCTCCCCATTTGTACAGATGGCGCATGTTCAAGCGGGGACTCCTAAACAAGTGCTGAAGCCTACACACAAATCTGAAGCCGAAGTCAACTAGACAAAAAAAAGTTTTGAAAATCCGATGACGGACAGGACAAGGTCGATGTCAATCGGCGCGAGAAGGTCGGCTGCAGTGCAATGGCATAGTCGTTTCAACACGTCTGGCACGGCATTGCATCCTGACTCTGTAGAGTTTGTGCCCCTTGTGCCATGCAGTGCTATTCCTTTTAGCAGGGCTGGTTCAGTCGATTGCCAGTTCCTTCTGGGCCAAGGGCTGGAAAACCGCTTCAAAATTCAAGCTGTGCCCCCAGGCCGCGCGCTCTGCACAGAAGGCTTTCGACGCAATTAGCCAGAGGCTCAGCTGTTCGGATGTTTGAAAGCTTCACTCGGCCGGAAGTCAAGGCAAGAGCCGGCATGAGTAGTTTCCTGTCTGGCAGTCCTCTCGCGGGGATCTTCTGGGTACCAAGGTGTCGGTTCCCAAAGGGTAGTAACTCGGGGTCAAAGTAGCAAGCTCACCCCTGCAATGCCTGCCCGGAGCGAGTGTGCGAGTCGAAGAGGTAGTAAAGCAAGGTCAGGCTTCAGCAATTCTTGCCCCAAGCCCCAGAACCTGTCCACTCGGCTGTGCCTCTGAACCTTTGGAGCCAGGGAGCCCGACTGTTGAAACCCTTGCGCGAACGGGGGATGGTGGAAAGGGGAGCAGGCACCCACAAGCAGTGTCAGTGCCAAACTTTTGGAAAGAACAGCCGTTTGGAGTGCTGTTCCTGCGTTGGAAAGGATTCGACGTGGGGGGTGGGGGGCTGTCGAGCAGAAGCAGCCAAGGCGGAGAAGGGCGGCAACGCGTCTCCTTTGAGTCCTTCCGGAGACATCTTGGAAGCTTTGTGGCCTGAGCCGCTCGGTCTCAGAAAGCTCGCATTGTGGGAGGGCTTGAGCTTTGACGAGGCGCTTCTTCAAAGTGGCATTTCAGAGTGGATAAGGGGCTCAGGGATCGCAGTACTAGGGACTAATGTCGAGCCCTTCAAGACATGAGTGTGGCACGATAATGGGTCAGCATGTGATAGAGAGTAATTCCACAGCGTTTGTTGTGCATGTGTTGTAGAGATGACGTAGAGTAGGTAGACATCGAATAGAAGTGTTTTCGAAGCTTTTTTTGGCCTAGGCTGTATGTGTCCTCTCGTAAGGATTCTATCAGTACCCGCTATCCGCATCTAGCCTTTGGAGAGCCCATACTTTTGTATCCCAAGAGCCGCGTCAGGACCCAGAGCTCCTCAAGCCCGGAGGACTCGAACTTTGCACGCTCTTCCCTACAGGAGGCTTTCGCCCATAAACATGGCCGGGATGCTTACCTGGACCTTCGTGGCTCTAAGGATGTGGGGTTCGTTTAGAGAACTAGTTTAATCGCAAGGATCACCCAGTTTTCAGAACAGAGCCGCGGGGCGAAGTGCATGTGAACTAAAGCAGGATGTCAGGCCACTCCAAGATCGACCAACGTTTGTGTAGATGAGGTTGAGCTTGCCCGCGCCGGATCTTTGAATATAGTTGGATCTTGCGACAGTAGACGTGGTTACTAAGTGACTATTCAATCTGGCTCTTCTATGACTATATATGCCGTTCGGAAATTATTCGTGCAACTCTGCTGACTAAAGACATCAAGTGCTAGTTCCAACACCAGCACCACGACTACGGCCCGATTTTGAATAAGCAGCACAGTTTCTGTTCCGACACGGAACAAGAAATCACCTGTGTCAGGAACTGTTGCAAGTGCGAAGATGTGAACTGTGAAACGCAAAGTCAAGAGGAATGGCGTCTCTTGAAGTGACTTCTTTGACACCTGGGAGTTTTATGTTCGCGCCCCAAAGGGGCAGCGTTGCAACACGCGGGGCTTGACATTCTGTTCTGACACGTGCAGTCTCCAGCAGCAGCCTCCCGGCAGAATGTTTCATGGTTGCGCTTGTGACGTCTATGCCGTGCATGAAATGATACTGCGACGACATCGCCGTTAAATGAGGTTCTGCAATCATGAGGTGTCAAGCCCGTTACCAACCTTGGCTCTACATGGTTTCCCAATTTTAAAAATGGCCGTCCACTGGCATGCTTCGCAGACCAGCTAACTGCCTGCAAGAAGCGCAGGCAGCCAATCCACCATGTTGTCGAGCCATTGGCGCCCACGTAGCTGAGTGCATCCCCAATTCAAAGAATCTAAAGCACGCACCTTCACTGGAAGCTTGTTCGGTCGTCAATATCGTCGCCTAGGTCGTTTGTTGACTTCTACAACCCGAACACACGCAAAGGACAGAGCATGATAGAGCTGTAGGTCTGGAATCGACAGCTCCTTGATGCAGTCTCTACTCAGTTTTGACTTCAGTATGCTGCTGAGCGATCGCTGACAACTGGACAGTGTCGGACGGTCGATCCGACTTCAAGTCATGTATTTTGATTGTCCCTCCGAATCCTGAGATGCATGTGTGGTGGTAGCTACCGCTTGTAACCAGAGTATATCTATATCTGTGTCTCTACCTCTCCACCTCTCTATCTCTCTAGCTATCTCTCTATTTCCCAATCTCTCTATTCCTCCGTCTCTCTATCTCTCTACCTCTCTACCTCTCTATTCTCTATCTCTCTGTCTCTCCGCGTCTATATCTATCTAGCTAGCTAAGTAGCTATCTGCGTGGTGTGCGGGCGTGCCTCTGTGTGTGACAGCTAGTGCACGCATCCAGCCTTCAACTAGAGCCTTGTGCTCCAAGAAAATACTCCAACCCGAACCCTGGGATCCCTGCTGTTTGACACCTAACCCTGTACGGTCAACTTCTTGTAGACCAAGAGCATTTGGCTACGTACTGGGCTCATGGTCACCCTGGCGGCCCCTGGCCTGGCTCACTGCACGCCGTTGCTCTGTTTGGAGCGCGGTGGATGCCATCCAAGCTTTCCGCCCGGCGTGGTAAGAGCACTTAGCACGATGTCCATTAGCAGCACGATCACTTGTAGCAGGGGCGGACGTTGTGAACCAACAGAGAAATACAAGAGATCCTTGCACACGGCTTGGATGGCCGGGGGCCGGCTGGAGCAGACGTCGCAGCCCCTATCGGGTCTTCCCAATGTCTGGAAAGGAAGGAACCTGCCCAATTTCGGCATGTCTGTTGACTACAGCATTGCCTTTCACAGATGGGGCATGCAAAGTTTGACACGTTGCCCCTTGTGGGACAGCAGTTTGGCACCTGTCCTTAGCTGTACCTAGTTGGGCGGCCATCTGAGAGATCTCCTTCCGCAACAGCAGTTCATCGCACTGAAGTGTCGACGAAGGACGGCAGTGCAGATAATGCGGGCGGGCCCGAGTCTTTCTTCACAAAGTCATGTAAAATCTCGGACGGCAAGCCCCTGCCACGGCATCAAGTCTGTGGCTGCCACATTCGACTCATGGCAGAACGCAGAACCGAGATCGGAGACTTGCATCGACTGCGGAGTCGGTGCGTGCAACACGCGATATGTGGTCCAGTAGTCCTCAGTAGTCCAGTAGCCAATATCTGTTGCAGGGGTTGTCCAGCACTACGAACACTTGGAGATCTGGGTACTGCGCCCTGCCCCTGCATTGGTTGGATGTGCGCAGTCGACGCACCCAACCCTGCGGGATTTTCCTGCGCCTTCCTGTGCGCATTTGCGAGTAGAAAGAAAGCGGAGCCGAGTGGAGGATATGACCCTAGGCATAGGTGGCAGAGAGCGAGATGATTGCCAGGTCGCGGCCAGTAGAACGAGACTTCGGCTAGAGGGAGGCTTTTTGTTTCACAATTTGTTGGACTGTATGTTTGAGATGCACACGAGGCCCTTTGCGAAGATGTTCTCCAGGTCACCTGTGTTCGAAACTGAACTTGTCTCCTTCATCTTAATGTCTTCCAGACTTTCAGCGAGTGCATCCGTTGGACAGGAAGGGAAACGGCTGTCGTTGCTTCAGGTCCTTTGATGCGGTTTCGGAGCTTCACCTGGGCTTGATATGGCTTCATGGGTCCATGCAGTTTTTCCAGGCACAACATGATAAATAGAATTGTAGAACGTTAACCACACGATGACCCTCTCAATCTGGTCCAAGCCGAAGGGGTTAAGATTTGGGATAGTGTGGCAGAACGTGGAAGCCCCGGTCGGCATCTGATTTCTGCATGGCGCGTGTCCGGCTCATTCCATTCCGGTTCTTTACATGAGGAGTGAGCCACTACTTTGAGGATGCTTGAGGCAAAAGTCATAGGCCGCCATCGTCATCACCATAATCGTCGCAGTCGGGGGGATTGCGTTGGTGATCGTGTCGGGACGCATGGGCAAGGACAGCCACGGGAGTTTGGCGGAGAAGTTTCATGTGGATTCGGATCTTGCAGGTAATGGCTTTTGACAGGTGCTTTGGTCGTCTTTGGTCGGCCTTCAGGGTTTTGGCGGTTGTTGACTTGTTCGAGCGGCCCGAGATTGACCTTGCAAATGTCCCACAGAAACAACTTGACACTGAACCTTAAGCGATCCACACTCTTGAAGAAAGACAGTTCAGACTTGAGCGCATACCGTACGAAACTAAACGCAGAATCGAGGCATCCAGCTGCAGATTGCCGCTCTTGGTTTTTTGTTGGACGTGCTTCCCTCTTCAATTGATAAGGCGATAGATTTCTCACTTTGAGGACATATTACCTGTTTGTGTTTAGCCGCACTGCCTGCCGCTGATGGATGTGTCCGATGTGCTGCTTGTGCGAAGTGCAGGAACCGCGTCCAAGTGCGTGAGCCCGATTCCTTGAAGCTTGTCCAAGCTGCTCGGAATGCACTGGATGGGACCTTGACTTGATCTGAAACCCGGGTGATCCGATCCCTCCACGGACGAATGCTGGGAAATCACTGCATGTTTCTCGGGCCATAGGGTCGGCCAGGAGCAAGAAGCAGGCGCTTGGTGTGTTTGGGCTCAAGAGAGAACCCTGTAGCACTACAGCTTAAACTCGCCGCTTTTCTGCGCAATCCTTTCGCCTGGATCGTCATGAATGCGATCGCGGCGCTCGTTGCTTGTTCTTGCTTGGTGTCCAGTTCCGCAGGTAGGCGGAGTGGCATCAATGAGGCCCACCTCGGCGTGGAAGGTGGCGATGGCTTGACGGAGGCGGAGCGGACAGTGGAGAGGATCGTCGAAGACGTCGACGTTAGCCTCACGAACGCCCCGAAGGCAGAAGCCGAAACTTGGGCCACGGTTTCCAGCGTCAGCCAGATCGGCCCCACTCTTGATGACATTGTGCCACGGGCCTCCGTCAACTACCTCATCACTACGGAAGGTGCTGCCCCATCGGACTCGACGGGAGACTACTGGCTGGAAGCCAACCTGTCTGCCATTGATGGATTCAGCTGCAATGCCTTCACTTCGAAGGTCGACAGGTTGATGCAGGCGCTGAAGCCGCTGAACCCACCCGAATTGTTCAAGATGTACTGCTGGGAGGAGCAGCTGACCATCCTCAGTGTCCACCGACCTCTGCCCCCCGGTGCGGATGCGGCGGTGCAGATGTTTGCGAGGCATTTGAAGCACATGAACTACACGGAATCGACCCTGATGGATGCAGATACGATGCTGGAGGACAAGGACAGGCCCATCCTTGAGGAAGTTCTTCAGGGCTTCCGCTTTGAGATGGATGTCGCCTTAACGAAGGCTCTCGAGGAGGTCATCGCGGCGAGACTCACCGAGTACACGCACAGGTACGACTCCTCCCCCTCAGGACCCTCGGTTGACAGGGGCACCTGCGGTGTCGGGGAGAGCCCATGCAGGTACCAATCGTGGGAGGGCCCGTGCTGCAGCACTCGCAGCTGCCTCGAGCCGACGTCGCCTGAGTCGAACTACCCGCGCTACCAGGAAGATCAGTGCCTCTTCAACGGTACCGAGTGTTGGGAGTATTGCAAGGAAAGATTCCAGATGAAACAGCAGGCGACCAAGGAGATGGTCCAGAGTGTCGTGTCCATGTTCAAGGGAGCCTCCTCAGACCTTCGTTTGTCATACGACGACAGTAAGCGGCGCGAGCTGCTCCGAACCGTTCCATTCCTGAACATGAGCTTCAACGATGTCGTCGCCAAGCTGTCCGTTCCGCTGGAGCATGTGAAGATGTCGATGAATGCAGCCCAACAGCCTTGGTTGGGCCCGCTCGCGGATGTTTTGGAGGGGGCTACCATTGACTTGGACACGCTGGATTCTGTGTCGATCAAGAACCTGCCCGGCGTGAAGGTGCAGATGACGTTTGCAGACGTTCATCCATTCAAAGTGCTGGGAAGCTTGCTTCAGGATCTCGGCGTGCTGAAACTCATGCACAAGGCAGCAGAGGCAGAAGAGACACTGCAAAAAGCGGAAGAAGCGGTGGAGGAGGCCGTCCTCAAGGCTGAAGCACCGATCGAGCATGTGGTGGAGTCCATCGAGAGGGAGCTCCCTGAGGTAATGCCCAGTGAGCAGCAGAAGTTGATTCCGATGAAGGCTACGATTTCGATGGGCCCTAGTTTGGGCCACTTCGACACTAATGAAAACGTCTCCTACATGTTCTTCCATGGAGACAAGGGGTCCTCCGACCCCTCAGCCGGCTACCGAATCGAATTGAACGTCACAGCCACCGACGCAGAGGCCGCCGCTAGCTTCGTGGAGTTGTGCAACGGCCTGCTCGCACGCGCACCCTTGGGCCCCGTCGTTGAGGTCAGGAACGATGGCAGCCAGGTCAGCATCTTGAGCCAGCCTTTGCTTCCCCCCAACAAAGCTGCCATAGATGCGCAGATCAAGATGATCATGAGCCACGTCGGTCACTTGACCTTCAACATGTCGGCGAACAACAACATCGAGCAGATGATGGCGCACCCGGATGACTCGATCTGGAAAGAGGCCAAGACCGGAACTCGAATGATGTTGGATGCAACGCTGACGGAAGCCGTCGAGAAGGCCATCCTCGATCGCATCAAGAAGAGGCCCTCAGCACCTTCAAGCTCTTGCGGAAGCATGGAGGCCCCATGCTTGGACAAAGATGAAGGCATGTGCTGCTCTTTGGCCACTTGCCTTCATGACGATGGCTCCTCTGAAGACTCAGAAGGCACTTGGAAAGATACCCAGTGCCGTTACAATTTCACCTGTGCGCCCTTGTGCCCAGAGCACCAGGTGGGCCACGACTATTCCCAGGCACTGGCCGAGAAGCTGGTGCAGCTCTTTGCAGGTGGCTCTATGGATGTGCGCGTGGCCTATGACGAGGAGATGGTCCAGGGTCTCATGGCCTCTGTTCCCTTTCTCAACATGACCTTCCGGAGTTTGCAAGACATGTACAGGCTCAATGCGCAGCAGTATCACCTCGAGAACTTTGCGGGGCACCCGCTGGCTGCACTGGGCGTGGAGCTTCTCAACGCCACGAACAAGTACCTGGTGAGCGTCGAGTCCGTGGAGGTCAAGAACCTCCCGGACGATATCAAGATCATGATCAAGTTGGACAACGCAAAGCCCTTTCAGTTCATGTTCGCCCTCGCCGAGGGCAGCGGCATCCTTGGGATGCTGTCAGGCTCCGGCTCAGAAGGCCACGCGACGCCCTGAGCGTGGGTGTGCCCGTGTGCCAGCACTGGCTTCATGACAGTTTTGAAAGTTGACCTTTGGGTGCAGCTGCGTGGTTGGCTACGCTTGCGGCACCCTTGAAGAGCAAACGCGAGAAGGTCGAAAATGGGCTTCTCAGGAGCCAGGAGCTGGTCGATACTCTGGCCGTGCTGCTTGTTGAGGGGTTTCAGTCCAGAGGGCTTTAACTTGAACTGTGTTGGAGTTGGTGTGTCCGGCGGTCCGAGGTTTACATCTGCATCGACAAAGTCGAGAGGACTCCTCAAAGCTGGGTTGTGATGAAAAGGGAGCCCTTGCTCGGTCATGCCGGAACCCAGCAGAGCGTGTTGTGATTCCGTTCTGCGAGTCGAGGGTTTGAAAAGATAGGGTTGATATGGCTGTTTTGTAGCTCCGTATTTAGCGTGAATAGGCACAAACGTTTTAACGCCAAACTGGTCAGCCGGTGCTGTGTGAGGTAGCGCCGCAACCTCAATTCAAGCAGAAGTGCCGATACTCAAAGGCCGTGTCTGGAAAAGAAGAAGTCAAGCCTTGAACCGCCCGAACCCCTAAAGACCTGAAGTCCTAGATTGATCATTCCTGTCCTGATGCAGTCGTGTCTGCATGCTGCCTGCCTGTCGGCAAGGGGGATCGATGCAGCGCATCCAGACTCGGGATCATCTGATCCAGATCCCGCAAGCTTCTTCGAAGTTCAGTGTTTCCCGCCTCTCGAAATCTCTCGAATATGCAGACACCTGACACATGTGATTCCCGGCTGTTGTTGTAGCCATTACGGCTCAGTTTTTTGGGCTGAGAGAAGCTTGGCACGGACCGATATGACATTGAGAAGCATGCTTGAACCAGTGTGGGTTCTAGCATGAGGTGGCATACCAACTGCAGATGCATCCGCGCCAGATTTTTTGTTCCTTCGCTCTTTAATTGATAGGCCGCAAGATTCCACACTTCCTCAACAAAATCCCATTTCACATTTAGCTTGTTCGCTTGCCTCTGATGGACTTCTCCGATGTGCTTGTGGGGCAGACTCTGGCACAGTGGTCCCCCAACGCCAAATATGTGGCTGCGGCAGACAAGTACCCTTGGCGGCAGTTCGTGGCCTTGGGCTTGAGTGATTCTTGCTTCGGGTTCTTTTGTTCGAGTGTTGCTTCAACTTGTGCGAAGTGCAGGAACCGCGTCCAAGTGCGTGAGCCCGATTCCTTGAAGCTTGTCCAAGCTGCTTGGAATGCACTGGATGGGACCTTGACTTGATCTGACACCCGGGTGATCCGATCCCTCCACGGACGAATGCTGGGAAATCACTGCATGTTTCTCGGGCCATAGGGTCGGCCAGGAGCAAGAAGCAGGCGCTTGGTGTGTTTGGGCTCAAGAGAGAACCCTGTAGCACTACAGCTTAAACTCGCCGCTTTTCTGCGCAATCCTTTCGCCTGGATCGTCATGAATGCGATCGCGGCGCTCGTTGCTTGTTCTTGCTTGGTGTCCAGTTCCGCAGGTAGGCGGAGTGGCATCAATGAGGCCCACCTCGGCGTGGAAGGTGGCGATGGCTTGACGGAGGCGGAGCGGACAGTGGAGAGGATCGTCGAAGACGTCGACGTTAGCCTCACGAACGCCCCGAAGGCAGAAGCCGAAACTTGGGCCACGGTTTCCAGCGTCAGCCAGATCGGCCCCACTCTTGATGACATTGTGCCACGGGCCTCCGTCAACTACCTCATCACTACGGAAGGTGCTGCCCCATCGGACTCGACGGGAGACTACTGGCTGGAAGCCAACCTGTCTGCCATTGATGGATTCAGCTGCAATGCCTTCACTTCGAAGGTCGACAGGTTGATGCAGGCGCTGAAGCCGCTGAACCCACCCGAATTGTTCAAGATGTACTGCTGGGAGGAGCAGCTGACCATCCTCAGTGTCCACCGACCTCTGCCCCCCGGTGCGGATGCGGCGGTGCAGATGTTTGCGAGGCATTTGAAGCACATGAACTACACGGAATCGACCCTGATGGATGCAGATACGATGCTGGAGGACAAGGACAGGCCCATCCTTGAGGAAGTTCTTCAGGGCTTCCGCTTTGAGATGGATGTCGCCTTAACGAAGGCTCTCGAGGAGGTCATCGCGGCGAGACTCACCGAGTACACGCACAGGTACGACTCCTCCCCCTCAGGACCCTCGGTTGACAGGGGCACCTGCGGTGTCGGGGAGAGCCCATGCAGGTACCACTCGTGGGTGGGCCCGTGCTGCAGCACTCGCAGCTGCCTCGAGCCGACGTCGCCTGAGTCGAACTACCCGCGCTACCAGGAAGATCAGTGCCTCTTCAACGGTACCGAGTGTTGGGAGTATTGCAAGGAAAGATTCCAGATGAAACAGCAGGCGACCAAGGAGATGGTCCAGAGTGTCGTGTCCATGTTCAAGGGAGCCTCCTCAGACCTTCGTTTGTCATACGACGACAGTAAGCGGCGCGAGCTGCTCCGAACCGTTCCATTCCTGAACATGAGCTTCAACGATGTCGTCGCCAAGCTGTCCGTTCCGCTGGAGCATGTGAAGATGTCGATGAATGCAGCCCAACAGCCTTGGTTGGGCCCGCTCGCGGATGTTTTGGAGGGGGCTACCATTGACTTGGACACGCTGGATTCTGTGTCGATCAAGAACCTGCCCGGCGTGAAGGTGCAGATGACGTTTGCAGACGTTCATCCATTCAAAGTGCTGGGAAGCTTGCTTCAGGATCTCGGCGTGCTGAAACTCATGCACAAGGCAGCAGAGGCAGAAGAGACACTGCAAAAAGCGGAAGAAGCGGTGGAGGAGGCCGTCCTCAAGGCTGAAGCACCGATCGAGCATGTGGTGGAGTCCATCGAGAGTGAGCTCCCTGAGGTAATGCCCAGTGAGCAGCAGAAGTTGATTCCGATGAAGGCTACGATTTCGATGGGCCCTAGTTTGGGCCACTTCGACACTAATGAAAACGTCTCCTACATGTTCTTCCATGGAGACAAGGGGTCCTCCGACCCCTCAGCCGGCTACCGAATCGAATTGAACGTCACAGCCACCGACGCAGAGGCCGCCGCTAGCTTCGTGGAGTTGTGCAACGGCCTGCTCGCACGCGCACCCTTGGGCCCCGTCGTTGAGGTCAGGAACGATGGCAGCCAGGTCAGCATCTTGAGCCAGCCTTTGCTTCCCCCCAACAAAGCTGCCATAGATGCGCAGATCAAGATGATCATGAGCCACGTCGGTCACTTGACCTTCAACATGTCGGCGAACAACAACATCGAGCAGATGATGGCGCACCCGGATGACTCGATCTGGAAAGAGGCCAAGACCGGAACTCGAATGATGTTGGATGCAACGCTGACGGAAGCCGTCGAGAAGGCCATCCTCGATCGCATCAAGAAGAGGCCCTCAGCACCTTCAAGCTCTTGCGGAAGCATGGAGGCCCCATGCTTGGACAAAGATGAAGGCATGTGCTGCTCTTTGGCCACTTGCCTTCATGACGATGGCTCCTCTGAAGACTCAGAAGGCACTTGGAAAGATACCCAGTGCCGTTACAATTTCACCTGTGCGCCCTTGTGCCCAGAGCACCAGGTGGGCCACGACTATTCCCAGGCACTGGCCGAGAAGCTGGTGCAGCTCTTTGCAGGTGGCTCTATGGATGTGCGCGTGGCCTATGACGAGGAGATGGTCCAGGGTCTCATGGCCTCTGTTCCCTTTCTCAACATGACCTTCCGGAGTTTGCAAGACATGTACAGGCTCAATGCGCAGCAGTATCACCTCGAGAACTTTGCGGGGCACCCGCTGGCTGCACTGGGCGTGGAGCTTCTCAACGCCACGAACAAGTACCTGGTGAGCGTCGAGTCCGTGGAGGTCAAGAACCTCCCGGACGATATCAAGATCATGATCAAGTTGGACAACGCAAAGCCCTTTCAGTTCATGTTCGCCCTCGCCGAGGGCAGCGGCATCCTTGGGATGCTGTCAGGCTCCGGCTCAGAAGGCCACGCGACGCCCTGAGCGTGGGTGTGCCCGTGTGCCAGCACTGGCTTCATGACAGTTTTGAAAGTTGACCTTTGGGTGCAGCTGCGTGGTTGGCTACGCTTGCGGCACCCTTGAAGAGCAAACGCGAGAAGGTCGAAAATGGGCTTCTCAGGAGCCAGGAGCTGGTCGATACTCTGGCCGTGCTGCTTGTTGAGGGGTTTCAGTCCAGAGGGCTTTAACTTGAACTGTGTTGGAGTTGGTGTGTCCGGCGGTCCGAGGTTTACATCTGCATCGACAAAGTCGAGAGGACTCCTCAAAGCTGGGTTGTGATGAAAAGGCGGAGCGAAGTTTGGGAATCTTCACAAACCCAGCGTTCAATACTGCAGATTGTATTGTCACCCCTGTGCGAGAATCCGGTGAACAAAAGGACCCTCAAAGCATATCATGGCCGTTGGTCGTCTTGTTGACAGCTTGGCAAGAGTTCGCTTGCAAAACGAAGGGCCGCTGGCAGGATCGAGTGGTCGCCAGATTCGCAGTTTCTGCTCACGGAGGTTGCGCGGCAAGGTCTGCTTCAGATCTGGAGCCTCAGGCACGAAAACTTGTCTGCGACAGCTCAGTTGCTGATTCAGAGCTCGTGCTTTGCACTTCTCTGACGAGGGCGCTAGAACGCGTCTGCTCGACACCCAATTAAACTTGCAACATGTCAGGGATAGCGAATGGACCTGCCGAATCTACGAAGGTCTCGCAGGCGCCTTGGTGCCTAGATCTTCAATGACATTATTGAATTTAGTGGAGATCTTGGGGCTAACAGGGCTTCCAATTCGATCGGGCAACGCAGATTTTTGTGATTGCATCAGCATGGCATATTTCGCCACGTAGCTAGGCTTTGCAGAGAGTGAGAAAGCCCCAGGCATTGCCCATGCTCGATGGGGACCTGGCACAGATCGGGTGCTCGTGGCCGTGGACTTCCAGCCCCTTGGTCCACTTGTCGAGTCTACCGGCAGTTTAGATCCCAAATTTGATCACGGACAGACTTGCGCCACGGCCGAGGCTGTATTTATCAATCTGGCCACTGCAGGAGGGAGCCTCTGTCGGGTAGCCCAGAAGCGGGAACGGGGGAACGGGACGAGCTCGTTTTTCAGCTGTAGGACTCCGGACTCGTCCCGTTGCGTCTTTGGAGTCCAGGCCCAGGCGCTGTCATCACGGCACTTTCCCAAGTTGCGTCTGCGTAGTGTCTGCGTCGCTGCTCGCTAATGACTCGATTTCTTTCCCCTCTGCCTGTCTCTGTCTAGTCCAGTGGCCATTGCTGTTATACGACATGGTTTGGGCTTCTGCTGACTGGCGAAGGCCGGCCTCACTCAGGCCGTTCAGATTCGATACCCGAAATTCCCACGGCGCGGCTTTGCCTTCAGTCGGGATGCTTGCTGGCTGGCCGTCCTCCGGCGGAAAGACTGCAAGGACTTTGCCTTCTTTTTACATGCTTGCAGCTGCTTGCACGGCAGACATTGGCATCATAACATTGAAGAAGTTTCTAGTAGCACACGACGGCAGGATTGTTACGTCATAGTCACTGGTGCACAATTCGCATGCGTCCGAATCCTCATGGCGTCATGTATTGCAGTGCTAGATCTGTGGCTCGTCGGGTGGTGTGTGTGTGTGTGACATTCTACACCTGAGAGTCAGCCACGCCTGACATTTAGACCTGAAAGCTGAGACTCACGGTTGAAAGTTCGCGGTCTCAGGTGAAGTCTTCAGGGTCGAGGGTCTTGCAATCCGCCCGTCTTCAGAGGGTGCCACTTGTGATGTGTCACCGTCGATGGGTTTTGACGGAAACCAGAAATCCGCAACCATGGGAAGAATCAGAATCACGACGCATCGTGGAGCCGGGCTCAGAATCGAAAGCAGGATCGGTTGGGCATCTACAATAGCGAGGAAAGCTTCTCGCGCCTCACTGTTGCCCGGCTCTTTCATATCACTTGGGACTCGGGACCTGGGATTTCGTTTCCTCGACGTTAGTCAAAATCCCGCATGACTCACTCTGGATATACCAAGCGTGACCCGAATCCTGCATCCCGGTGCAGTTCATCTTCTTGAAGAAGATTCAGGAATCTTGTCTTCGGTCCTCAACGCCAAATGCAGACAATCGTTTCGGAAGCCTTTCGACAAGGCACTATGCCGGAGACATGCTCTCGCATAAGTTGATGTATCGACTAGCGAAGTTGGGGGCCAATGGCGGCGCCTCCTTGCCACATGCCCGGAGAGCATCGTCTCTCCAAGCATGGAGCCGAGGATGTGGCCATTGCTGGCGATGCTTCGGATCTTGCGTGGGCACCGGATGACAACACGACTCTCAGCTTGAGTTGGCTTCACCGTGTTGCTTCTATTAGAGTCTGCTTTCTTTCCTCTAGGTCAGCTGCTACAGAGCCTGTATTGTACTAGGCCTTCATCCTTCTTTCTTCCGTTGCTATGTTCGGCAGCCTTGAAGTTAGAAGCCCCGGCCAAACGGGCCTGAGCACATGCAGCGCCCTGCTGGGATCAATGATCTGACTATGGTAAGGTCCAGGACTTTGTCATGTCCTACCGTCATGCGAAGTAATGTGGAATCGTGAGTTTCTAACCCCGGAAGAATCTGAGGCTTCTCGTTTGGGAGCGCGCCGCATCATCGCCCTGGTGTCGGATGCCCCCTGGCCGCAAGGCTGCTCTCCAGAATCTGCCTGGATTCCAGTCGGCAGTTTGCGACACCCAGTTAGCATATTGTAGCACACGACATTACCTACGGCCCACGGCCACACAATACAGCCACGTGCATTCATAGTCGGGTGCACCAAGCCTAGGTACTCGCTGGCTGGTGAGTGCCTGGCACAGGTCGGAGACGCGTTGCCAAGGCCGGGGCTGCTTGCAGTGAAGCGGGCGTGGGCGGAGGGTGTAACGTTTGAGCTTCACTTTTGCAGAGCCGGGCTGGCCGAAACATGTACTCCGTGGTAAAAGCCTGCTGGCTGTCCGGCCTGACAATCCGATCTAGTGCACAGGCGTATGCACCTAGAGTAATCTGAGTGGTAACCACCCAGAGGCCCGCACAACACAAAATGCAATATGCAAGAGGACTCTTATGTCCGATCGGCGGTTCAGTTGTTTTATGACCAGCACCCTACAAAACAAGCTTTGTGTTGGCAGCAGTCCTTTGAATGCTGGTGGTGGTGGTGGTGGTGGTGGTGTTGACGGTTCATTCATTTCTCTTGCTATTCTGCTGAAGTTCTCTTCGGAATACAAGATCTTGGACCAATACGTTATCATTCACTGTCATGTACATGTCCTATCACCGATGAAGCCCGTGCCTGGCCCTAAAGTCCCAAAGCATGCCGTTGCCGATGTGGCCCACGAGGTCCGTTGCACCATCGCCCTCAATGCAGCTGCTGGCGGCCTTGGGCCTCGACGGGCAGCTGCAGCTGTCCCGGGGCGAGGAATGACCACTTCTAAAAATCTATACATACCATATTACATCACGTCATGTTATGCTATGTTATGTTTTAGAGAAGACGTGTCCTGAAAGCGCTCGGAGCACCGATGCAGTCAGCAGCAACACCTATATAACATCCACTCCTCCCTGCATGCACCCTTCCGTCCATCCAATACACCTATCCCTCCCTACAATGATCTACCCGTTCATCCACCCACCCATCTATTCTGGCATCAATCCATCCATCCATCCATTCTTCTATCTCCACAAACCATACCTGCTTTTACAAGCCTTCGTATAAGCTTTCCATTCGCTGGTTTATAAACTGGGTTACAAACCTCTCGATAAACCCTTCGACAAGCCCCTCTGACAAACTGACAAACCCTCCTACAGACCCCACAAAGCTTCCTCTGAACTTCTCTCTACTTAAAACTCGTCTTGCAACCTTGCAACAGACGTTTGAATAACTCCCATAAATAAACCCTCGACCAGAAAGTGCTTCCCACCACTTACTGGCAGGAATCCGGGCCGAAACGCTTCTCCCACTTGTACTGGCGGATTCGGAGACATGACTCTATGTGCTAGCCGGATTGAGCCGCACGGCCAAAATACTCCCCACGAGTACTGGCGAGGTTCACAGACAGGACCAACATGCTTGTGTCATGTACTGCGGGATTCAGACATTCCGAGTTCCGAGGCTAAAATGAACACGGCAAAACACTCGCAGCAGCGCCATATCATGCGCCGGTGTCAGGAGAAGGTGGTCAGATCCGAGCTCGAATCCTTCCGGTGCCACACCATGCGGGGGTGCTTAACAACATTGCAACATGCTGGCGGCTAAGTTTCATAAAGCGAAAACTTCACGAAAGCCTCACATCATCGCCCGATCAAACATCATTCCATCCTAATTGCGGGCAACACCGCCAAGGCAAACGCTTCGCAAAGATTTCGGGACAACATAACGTGGAAGGTAAAAGCAACAAGCGCGGCAACATTTCAAGGTATGTAAGCACACAAAGCGAAAAGAAAAGACAAGCCAGGTGCACTGTTAATTACAGTTGACAAGGATCCGCAGGTCTAAAAACATCATCTGTAACGGCGCACGAGGACACACGCACACACACATAAATGGACAGAAGTGCACATGTGTCCCTTGTCGTTCGCTGGTTACCATATACAGCAGTTCATCTCAAGTTTAGGCGCGTACGCATCGAAGGGAAGCAATGGCTGACAGACTGGTACTATGCGTGATCCAGGAAGAAACAGATCTTCAGCAAAGACCGAACCAGAGGTTGGGCATGTGAGTATCCGAACAGGCCCCACCCGCCCTCAAGCCCCTCCGACCGCCTGCACGGCGAACTGCCCGCCGTGCATGCAGGAGTACATGTTATGCAAAATGGCAAGTATAATGGCCTGGTTAACACAGGTACATCGCTGTGTACCTGTGCTTTCAAAAATTAAAAGCCGGACCTGATAACGGTTGTCTTCGCTATGAAAGATAGATGTGGAAGCAGTGAAGACTAAGATGGGACAGCCATCATAGGTTCGAGGGTCCGTGGCAGCGTCATGTGACAATGCTCTTTGCTCTTAACAATTCGGGACAGGAGTTTGATGAGGTTTTTATGATAGTGTGTTGTGATTTACTTTACATGCGCTTTTGCCACGGTGCCTGAACTGTTAATCATTGTTTCAACGAGGTTGAGTGCCGTGAGCCGACACATCCTCACCAACCTGCCCCACAGCCTTGCAGCCCGGGCTTAGACTGCGAAGGTGTGCAGTGGTTTTGAGGGTGATGATCGATTGTGTTTCAGGGGTTGTTTCTTTGGCCATGTTCATCATGTCATCACATGATTCAGCCGATACTCCCCGAGCCGGGACTCAAGGTCGGCGGCAGTGTAAGCTTCTGTCTTGACAACCCACGCATTAGAATCGTGAAAGAAAGGTTTGTCTCTGAAGCGCATGGTGCCATCATACTGCACAGCCAAGGAAGCTACTGCACAGTATAGTACACAGCGCCCGGGCATCCGTAGCAATACGTAGCACACCCTGCGAGTGTGTTGTGAGTGCACACGTGGCGCACGGTTGTAGTCTCGTGCTTTTCCTTGAATAGTTTGTGGTTTTTGAGCCAAGCTCACATTTGCTTGTCTACCATGTAAGTATGCTAGAGTTCCGTCTGGTCTCCGGAGGCTTTTCCTGCACATGGTCAAAAACTGCATGTCCGGTACGACATGTTCAGATCCATTCTCGCAGCAGCACATGAAGCCGCTTAAAACCCTAGTAGTACCGTGCATTGTAGTTGTAGTCTTTCGAAGGAATTGTGTCACGGTGTCACATAGGCGGTTGAAGCGCCAAGCCTTCACTCTTCCGGACAAGCAAGCTCAACCTTTTTTCGTCGGCTCCCCATGTTCAGACACGCACCCTGCATCCGCGGTGACTTCGAACGCTGTCATTGCGTTGTTGCGAGGTGGAGGCAATCATGCAGCGTGACGATGGCGAGGCATCTTGGTGTTGCGGTTTTCTGCACACATGAGCAATTGTTAAATGCACTGCAACATATTCGGAACAGATTTCGGTAGAATCATGTGGCCGCACAGGTCACGACAGCGGGGTAGCACAGGACTGGACGGCAAGACATCGCATTACGTCATAATACACCAGCCCAGTGCCGTCATCCTCATCGGCCCCCCCACATCTGCGCATGAGGTGTTCAGAGCTCAGAGCTTATTGGACCAGCTCAGATCACGAAGTCATCAGACGCTTGAAAGTTGTTCCCGGCGACATCGAATCATCGTCTGACCAGGGCTGGGTCTTTACTGAGGCCTCGTCAGGGGTGCTCCAATCGCGACACTGGTTTTCTTAAAAGGACCGCTGTTGGAAAGCGGCCGGTACAGGCTCCCAATCTTCAGTCCAAGCAGTCAGTGTATACCGTCAGTCCGACACATTTTTGTTTCCTAGCCTGGCCTGTCTTCGCTTGTGTATAGGTTAACTAGGCCGCCGGATGGTTGTTCCCCAGATAGATAGCACATGGGTACAGTCTGGCAGGCAGTTCGATGAATTGGTCAGTTACGGACATCTAAAACATGGATCGACCGACATGCGTGCGGCTGGACCCCTCCAAACAGCCTCCAAAGCTTCAGGTATTCCTGTGGGAGGAATATGTCGAACTGGCCGACGGCAGTCCAGATGCAAAGCGAGGCTACAACAGAATACAGGCCCGTCTAAGCGGGCAAGACGTGTTGTCGTGCGTGCTGAAGTCTTGCCTTCATGCAAATGTTCGGACGTGTTACTTTTTTTGGGCAGCGGGGCAGCTTGGGCTTGGTTTCTTGACGGCTTGCATCCCTTGGCAAGCCTTTGGCATGGACCTGATGCATGTGCAGCTTTACAGCTCGTTTTTCAGGCAGGTCGTGACCCTTGCGAGACAGCATGGCTCGCCGAGCGCCCCAGCTGCTGACCATCGGCCTCTTGGCGGCCCTCTTCGTGTGGAACACGGCTTTCCTCCAGGTCGAGGCACCGACGCCCAAGCAGGCAGTCCCGGTCGCCGCAGCAGCAGCGTTGTCAGCAGCTCCCTTGCCAGCCCTTGCGGGCGAGCCTCCAAGCGTGGGCATTCACTGGTACTGGGACCTGGGCATCGGCACGATCCACGGCGAGACCGCCAGCATTATCATTTGGGTGTTCCTGGTCTGCACCATCTTCGCTTTGGCCGGAGCCGGTGGCAGCAGCCGCAAGAGTGCGGCGTAGAGTCCCAGATTCATGAAAGCGTCAGGCCAGGCGGTCCCGTACGAAAAAACGCCTGCAGTGCATGCAGGATCATGCAGGGGTGTGCGCTGTAAGATGCAGGAGCTGCTTAGGTGGGGCTGAATGAAGGCACCCCCGATGCTCGGATGATGGCAGGTCATGCACCGTGCGTCCAGCACGCGTTTGATGCATTCATGTTAGGTTGCAGCGTTGACACAACTGCTCTAGGACTCTAATCAGGATGTGCCGGACACATGCTCCTCCGTTTTTGGCCGTGAAAATGCTCAATGCCTTGTAGCCTTGCCTGAAAGGAAGCCCAGGCTACGAAACCCTTGCGAGACAGCATGGCTCGCCGAGCGCCCCAGCTGCTGACCATCGGCCTCTTGGCGGCCCTCTTCGTGTGGAACACGGCTTTCCTCCAGGTCGAGGCACCGACGCCCAAGCAGGCAGTCCCGGTCGCCGCAGCAGCAGCGTTGTCAGCAGCTCCCTTGCCAGCCCTTGCGGGCGAGCCTCCAAGCGTGGGCATTCACTGGTACTGGGACCTGGGCATCGGCACGATCCACGGCGAGACCGCCAGCATTATCATTTGGGTGTTCCTGGTCTGCACCATCTTCGCTTTGGCCGGAGCCGGTGGCAGCAGCCGCAAGAGTGCAGCGTAGAGTCCGAGCTTTCTTAGAGGGAACTGAGGCAGGCAAGCCAATTTTTCGGAAAAAAGAGAGCCTCGCAGCCTATGGTCCTATCGATCCCTTGTGCACGCAGCTTGAAACCAAACGTTCCCCCGCTCGACAGGACTCTGCGAGCTTCTTGGAGGAGAAACCGGTGCCTGAGGTTTTGGATGCGGAGGGCATCCCGAAGATGCTCTGATGCACCAGAAGGGTAGAGTAGCGGAAATGGGGCTCAGTCGTTCGGGCCACACAATAGGACCTAGGATATCGGGAGCACCATGCCAATTATGTCGTTCTACCCAGACTACCCACAAAAATCAAGAATCTCCAACCTCGGAAGTTCATGTGTTGACACCTGATTGTTTTTTCTACAAGCTCGGAGCCCGCAAGCAGTCACCGTTTCATGTAGGAACATGATCTTTTCAGCAAATGCAGAGCCACTGCCAGGCAAGGAATTACACTGGCTGCTTGGAGCCCGGATGAGCATTTCTTAGCCACGAAGCACGAGTCTTTCCCTTGTGCCGTGGGCCGCAGAAACCGTTGGGTTTAGGTCCGGACTCGTCACGAAGATGATACACCGATTTTAGCATTCGTACAAAGGCTCCTGCGATTTTCAAGCATGCGTTTCCTGTCCATGAGCTTCTGCCACGCCAGGATGCTCGGGGTTGCCACCGTTGGTTAAGGCCCTTAGAAAGGGAGCTTGGGTGAGCAAGTATGGCCCAAGGGTTAGAGTCTGCTCAGGTGCGATCTGGATTTGGGATCTGGGGCGACTCGTACTTCACTCGGTGCTGAGGCTGCTGTCACTTTTGCAGGTGTCCATTGCTCAAAGCACAATGTCCTTGGAGCTCTATCTCCATGCAAGACATGGGTTTGGTATGGTTTGGTTCCGTCTTTGGGCGTCGATTGTACCCGGGCCCGAATAAACTGCTTTACAGGCGCTGCACTTCCGTACGTGGAGCTGAATAGTATCCGATATATCAATGATTAAACGGTGACAATGAGACCGATTACAGCAATGAGGGCGCCGCGACAGCGCGACAGGAGCAACCTTAGCAACTTCGTAACGTAACTCTCTCTCTCTCTCTCTCTCTTTCTCGCTCTCTCGATTCCCCGCTCTCTCTCTCTCTCTCGCGCAAGTTTTGTCGTGAGGGCTCAGACTCAATCTCCAATTAGTCTTGCAAGGGCAGGCAGGGTGCAGGGCCGGGCAGGGCAGCCAGGGCCAGGGCCAGGGCCAGGGCAGGTGAGTCTTCCTCTTGTATCCATCTAGCCATTGACTGTCCCTAGTGCTGGTAGCTCCTGTACGAAGTCGGCAGAGGCAGCGTAACCCGGTCGTGGCGTTGGCTTGGGACCCCACTGCGCGCGGCGCGCGGAACCGGCTGGCAGGAAGCGCGCTGCTGAGGAAGGGGAGCAGGGATTGCTGTCGTTGCCACCCCAAGTGTTTCGGCCGGGGTTAATACTGGCTCTGTAAATCTTAGCAATGTTGGGTCAAACGTGTCAGTTCTAGTGGCAGATGCCAGTTGGGGGATGAAATGGGGAGTCTCTGCATCATCCAAAGGGAACGTCAGAAACTGAGGCACCACAGCTTCCCTCCTGCTTTGGACTCCGCGTGGTGCGACGCTTTCAGTGGCACCGTGCCTTGGCCGCAGGACATCCTGTGACATCCTGTGAGACCGCTTTTGGTATTACCATAGGATTTGGATGATTGGCTGACCGACGCAATCACTGAGGGGATGTGTCTGTCATGTGACGAAAGACCATGACGGGCATGGGACCGGGTCAGAATAGACCTTCGTAGTGTTAGTTCGCCATGCGAGTCGCAGGTTGGGACCAAAATTAGAAGTGCCATGTGGGACTAGTGCTCCTTCCCGTGATATTCTGCTGGATCGAGCAGATGTACAACGATCGCATTTGATATCGTCTGGTGGAGTTACATGTGCTGCAATAAAGTCCTGCCGTACCCCGAGCCCAGCGTATGACTCTTGCTGAGTGTGCGAGCGTAGGAAGATTGCTTCGGGCTCGTCCTTTGCCTCCCCCGGTACAGTCCGGACGAGTACAGTAAACCCTAGAAAGTTGGAAACCGAATGAAGGCCAAATAGTGTCCTATACATTACTCTTAAGGATTGAGGCTATTGGGTTTCCAACTTTTGGGCTTCTACCATAATTGAATCCTCATTCCAACTGGGCTTCACGCGAAGGATGGTGGCCGGGAAGCTTCGGTGGCGTAGTGATGGGCGCAGCTCCTCGCGACAATGCACGAGAGACCGTCAACACCAATTTTGGGGTTCAAACATTGGGGGCAGGCAGAGGTTGCTTTTTTCTTGTGGTCCGTCCCACGGACAGCAGGAAGGCTTGTCAGTAGCGTCACTGCCGGAGTCTGGGGTGTCACGGGGCCCCAGCTGCCTGATCGGTGTTCATTCGCCAGCGCCTGATCGCAGCTTGAACTGTTCCCAAGGCTTGCTGCTGCAGGAGAAGGACCGCTTTTGTGTGTGCCGCGTGGGGTTGCCGGCGCTTGAAAAAAGCCCGCTGCAAGAGAGCTGGGACGTGATGCAACATCTAGCTCTCGGTTGTGGGCAGCGTTCAGTTTCTTCGACGGCTCTGAGGGTTGAGGTCAATTGTAGCGTGGATAAGCATGGCGGCTTGCAGGCATTCAGAATTTAGCTGTTGCCACCAGGTTGACCTTCAGCCATGTAATTAAGAACCAGGCCGCCTTACCTGGCGACTCGCTCAGCAATGCCAGGGACGACAGAAATGGACGAGCAGAAGCAAGATGAGTAAACTTCTCATATACCACTTCTATCTGTTCGAATTCACGTTGCAGCCCAAAAGCCTTGGATTTGCTTCCCAAACTCTGAGACTCGGAGCATGGATGAAAGCCTCACCTCGGACCTGGACAGCGATTCCGACACGGAATGCCGCGCCCTCGTGGGCGAGACCGGAAGGCCTGAGATTTTCCCCTGTGGCTTAGGGTGAAGGGTTAAGGGTTGCGGCTGGATCTCAAACAGTATTGTACTTGGTCCCTCGGCCCATTTCTTTTCTCACGGCTCCTTCAGTAACATCCCCTTGCCACGGCCTCCAGAATGCGGACAGGGAGCAAGGCCTTTCAAACCCCGTGAGTAAAGCAGGAGCCGAACATGACCGCTTAACACAGATGCCGTGGTACAAAAGCAAATACATATATATATATATACACACACACACACACATAATATACATACATATATGCATATGTATATACACACAGTACACTGTCGCCAGATTATTTTTCATTATTGTACCTATCCAGCCATCCCCGGCAGACAGAGAGAGAGAGAGAGAGAGAGACGCCATAGTCAGGAATACCCCAACAGCCGATCACTCAATAGTCCAAAGAGTGATCGGGCGGGCCTAGCGCCTGTGGGTCGCACCGCGACCTTTATGCCCGGCAGAAAGACAGAGAGACCCATCCACACGCTCAAGCGCCTCCCCGACCGTTGCGGAGGAGAGTTGAAGTGAAATGCAAACCACAGCACTCGGACGTGTAAAAAGCACCGAGAGCTGCCCTCAGCAACTGGAATCCGACTGAAGGAAAAGCTCCAGCATGTGATTTCCTCAGGAGATAAATCGTCAGTCGGTTTCTTTCCAGAGCTGTTGAATCGGAGGTGTTCACCGAGACGTTGTGGTTCACTGAAAAGTGGGCCAGGTTACAACTGGGCAAAGCCCCTACACCATACTGTAGCCCTGGCGAAAGAAAGAGACCCATCCAAGCCCTTGTGGCCGAGGGTCGTCGAACATCCCTCATGCCTCGGGGAAGAAGAGAGACCCATCCAGCTGCGCAGGAGGTCTGACCATGGCTGCTGCGGGCTGTGCTGCAAGGCAAGGAGACCGCGCTCCAACGTTTAGGGCCTTCAGGTGAACATGACGGCAGTTTTGGTTTGGATTTGCGTCGTTGCGCTATAGGGCCGCTGGGGACCAGGGAGCCCTGCGAGCCTTCATACAAAGCTGTCGTGTGAGGTTTGCGTCCTCTTGTCCCTTTGCGCTCTGGTTGCGGGTGCCGTCTTCCACGAAGCGCTGGTAGCGCGCCTGGCGAGCATAGGCAGGAGCTCAAATCTCTCCACTGTCTGTAAGCGAGCTGGTCGCAGATGAGCGTTGCCTGGCCTGGAGGCCTAGACTTCTAAAGCCCTGTCTGCCTTGAGCGTGGAGAGTCGAAATCGTGGCCATCCTTGCAAACCCTCCAGGGTTTATACAGGCTTTTCTTGTCACTAAGTTGACCCACATCCGGTCGAAGCAATGTCATTTGTATTGCTGGTCGCCGCTGTACGGTGCAAGGCATACTTTCGTGTCCGTGTGTCTGTGCGTCCGGACGCGATTGGGCATGCGCGGGTTTATGCTTGCACACAGTGCAGGCATCGCAGCGGCCCACATCCAGTTTCCCGATTGCAGCTTTGCCGAGGTTGTCGCATAGGCATGGAGCGCCTTCGGGTTTGATATCTTTTTTGCAGATCAGATGATCAGAGATGGATGGTTCCACATGTCAGAGCCTCCCTATACAGGAGACTGTGCCTCACAAACTGACCAGGTTCGAGTCTGTCGATGTGGGAACGATCCGCAACTCTCAGACTTTGAGCCCCCGCATCCTCGCATCGGTGTCCAACCCCAGCCCGGTGAATGCCGATGTCAGGACTGAGGCTTGAGAGCTTTCGGACATTGAAAACCGTAGCATTCTTGGTTCTGGTGATGGGTGTCGCCGGGTTTCGCAGGCTGACGGCTGATTGGTTTGTTTGGGAGTCGACAGTATGTGTGCTGTGAGCAGCTTATGTTGTGATGGTGGACTGTGGTGATAGCTTCTGCGCATGTATGGTTCGGATTTTGCGTGCCTTGCTCAAACTCGTGGACCTTCTCTTTTTCGAGGGGCAGCCCTTAGAGACAAATGAGTGCTCAAGACGGCAGCAAAAAGTTATCGCAAGCCCCACAATTGTCCAACACACGCGGTTGGCGCGCAGGATGTCCCGGTTGGTGCTCAAAGTTCCCATTTTCCCATCCGGGACTTTGGCGCGCGTGGGCACCGTGACCATGCCTTCTCTGCGGGTCCAGGCCATGGGTTGGAGATCCCGCTTTCGGTTTACATTCTTATGGGCCCTACTGGGCGAGGTTGGTGTGGGCCATGGCAGGCTAGGGGTGTTGATTATGCAGCTTCCGGATGCTGTGGACCTGCGTGCTTGTTTTCCAGGCTTTCCAAGATATGCGAATCAACATCTCGGCCCATGTTCACATCGAGGACCTGGACGTCTTCGGCCTCGCAGGCAAGCGAGCACCAATGCTTTGTTGGAGTACACATCTTACATGGGTAGTTTTGTAAATTAGGGTACGCTTTTGGGTCAAATAGACGGCACCTTTCCAAAAAGCTGTTTAGCGGCTGATTTAGAGAACCGCCACCCACATAGTCCTCCTTTGTACGCCGCATGTTTGATGTCAGGTGGTTGTCGTCGCTAGAATCTGCCAGGAGCTTGCAACCCGAAAGCTTTTGGATTCATCGCAGGCCTTCCAAAGTATTCAGCTTTGACATGGACATAGGACAAGGGCCCGGATGTGCTTAAATTGTCAGATGGGGGTGGATGCCCTTGGAAGAAAAGATGCTGAACTTTGGAAATTCAACGCACCATGTAGGGGTGTGTGATCAGTACTTGTTGTGCGTAAGCAGGCAAGCATGCGGTGAGGGAGCCGAATTCCTCCTGGGTGGTGGAAGGAAAGCTTCAGGTGCGCTCCGGTGCTCGAAGGCGTTTTGCCAGAGTCTTTAGCCTCGTTTCAGGATGTAGTGTCTGGAGTCTAGAGACACGCACAAAGAGCCAGAAAGCAACAGCCCACACTCTTTTGCGAAACGAAAAGATCGAATTTACCATCCTCCCTGCTAGAAACCTGAAAGCGGAGGAACCTCTGGCTCAGGGAGACATGGAGGGGTATGTATACATGTACATATACAGATATACCTACACATATACACATACACATGTACATATACACTTGCATAAACCGACACATACGCATACACATGCACTGCGCATGCTCATGCACATGCACACACGCACACACACAGATATATAAATACAAATAAATAAATATATGTGTACATATGTATATATGTATATGTATATATATATATACATATGCAAACAAATATACGTATTGAGTGTGGAGGGAGGGTACTGCCTTCTCCCTTGTCTGTGGAAGGAGAGAGACAGAGAGAGCCCAGAAGTGCTGAGCTAGCATAGAAGATAACAAGATCGGCTAGCTTGGTGCTTGCCAGGCGCTTGCCAGGTGCAGTAAGTAGCGTCTGGAGGGGTCTCATGGTGCGCATCTTATCCTGTCTAACTCGAAACCCAGCAGCTGGCTGAGATCATGCCGTCCTTGGACTCGACATGAAGTGACCGAGCCGACCTAAAGCCAGAACGCCCAAGGCCAAAACTCTCACGCTTTTCGGAATTTTCAGGTCCGCTGCGAACTACCGTTCTTTGCGGCGCATCTCTCAGACATACCCTTCGAGCGGGAGGTGGCTCTGAAAGGTGCCTGGCCTTCGGAAGGTCAGTGAGAAGTGTTGCAAATGGGGTCTTGAGGAGTTGGGGGCCTGACGGTTCAGCGTAGTTGTCCACATCATTTGCTGAACGACCCTGTCGGCCTCAGCATTAAGCCTAGTCGTACAGTACCTGTGTTTGTTTGGGTGGAACAGCACGGACAGAGCACCAGAACAGCTTCCGGCGTCACTTTCCCAAGCAGGTATGGCGAGCTTCTCCCAGGATGCCAATCCTGTTACCATGGAGGTGCTCCTGGAAAACTTCATGAGCCAGATTTCCCTACACTTCTCAAACATCCCTTCGCAATGCAAGAGTGCAGCGTTGTGTGGTGCATGGTGCATACTGCCAGCATGCAGTGGGTGTGTCCATCCACAGTGATTACGGTGCCATATACTACCACCTTGAGTACGGTTGTGCCAGATCTGATGAGGGTACATAAATAGAGCTTTCAGGAAAATTAGCATTCAACCAAGCCAGACGATGATTGTACATGGTTGCATTGGCTTGGGGGCTTGTGGTTCAGCATCCCAGTGGTTAAGTTATAGGTTTCGAACCAGAGCTTGGGGTGTAGCGCAACAGACGTTCAGACTTTCAAACAGTGCAGAGCACGGGTGATGTCATGTGTGTGGGGTTCAAGAAGCCTTGTCAGCTTGCAACAGCAGGCGATCACGAGTGCGTATGGCTACCCCGACCATCTTGACACCACTGTGGCGATCAGCATCTACAACCCTTCTTACCTTTCTGCACACCTTGCCACTGTGCGGGGAAATTGAAGAGCCGGTGCTTTGGATTTTCATGACTCGCTTCTTCTGGGCTTAGCTGGATCGGGGAGCACATGCTTGTTTTGTGTTGGCGTTGCATGGCTTTCTTGTGACGATGTGGTGTCGAGAAGCCTGCATGCACACCCAAAAGCATCCTCATTTAGGTGCTGTCCCAAAACTACCCGCTTCTTGTACATTGCTGTGCCGTGAACCTACGCGAGTGTGAGCCCAAAGACGAGTTTTGAAGGACACGCCTACTCATTTCAACATCACCCAGCGCGGGCATCCCTTTGGGACCGCTGTGGTCCAAGAGGCCGTTTGCTCAGCCCCGGCCTGCCTAAGCCGCACTAAGAATTTTCACGATTCAGATGCGAGTCGTTGGCCTTGTCGGGATGGGCGCAGTCGGGTGCGACCCGAGACGTATTCTCGAAGTGCTTGAGGCCACAAGATGACTAGGGCTTGGTTTGCAGTGTTTCATGGGTCATTTCTGCGCTTGGGACGTAGCCTCAGTCAAGCTGCTCCGGCAGCCAGCGCATCCTTCACGTTTGTTTGCGACGAATCATGGAGCATTGCTGCTGCCATCTTTATCTTAGGGTGTGGGCCAGGTGTAGACAGTACGTGAATGATGGTCAGTCAGCGCATGCATGGAACCCTCGTGCATGTTGTACGTAGTACATCTGTACACACACACACACACGCATGGACGGACTGCCTGGTGCGATGGAGGTCATTCTCAAGCCTGGACATAACACCGTTGAAGTCACTCGGCGACATAGATGCCTCCACTCGAGCAGCTTTGGAACATTCGTCGTGCAGCTGAAACAGTGCCGACGCCTCCTGGGTTCGGGTTTTGGTGTCATTTGGCTGCTGTGTTGAATTAGGATGTGCTGAGATTTCCATCCCTCGGAATTCGCCCAGTGAGGTTCGTTTTCTGCTGCAAGACGACAGCTCCAACAGGGAAGCTGTGCGCGAGTTCATCGTCGGAAGCTTGGCACTGTCCAGCAGGCATGAGGTTGGTGGTTGTAAGTTGATTGCTATGAGTTACGTATCGACAGGATGAAAACGACAGGATCGTTGAGCAGGTGGTTTCCACTTTTACAGTTTCCACTTGCAAATGTGCGCTGAGCCACAAGGCTACATTCGCGCCGACATGCAGATGGTGACAATGCACGGCACCAAAAGGCCAGGACTGGTTGAGAAGCGAGTGACACTGTGCACCCCATGGCGACCGTTTTGAAGGGGTTGTAGGAGTCTGAACTTGTGCCAGCGCCTATCACTTGTATCATGGCAGCAAGCTAACGAGTCAACTCTGGTAAGCTCAGGGCATAGAGACGTACGGGCAAGAGAAACTCCACAACTCCCCATCAGGCAGCACCCCCGAACAAACGCAATGGTAGCATGCTCCTAGTGCCCAAACACTGATGCCCAGGTCCTGTTCCGACCCCCTCCTGGCCGTGGTGCTGTACCTCGGCGATCTGAGGTCTGTTGCAGGTAGAAGGGCGTGGGTCCAATCCGCCAGATATGAAAGGTTCATGCATGTGACAAACGTGGAAGAAAAAGCAGGGGCTGAGGGTTTTGCTTTGGACGGCTACCAGTAACATTGCATGGCTTTGGCTTGAAAGACGTAGCACTGGTAGCAGAAGCAGGAATCACATCGATCATTGTCTTAAGCGAGTACAGGGCGCCGAATCGGCAAGCTTGCATCCGAAGAGCCTGCATAGCCTGCCACTGTAGTCGCGATCCCAAACCCTTCAGCCGTTTCCCAGGGACGGCCTCGATCTCCGCTTCCACTTCAAGCCACCTGCAGCCCCCTGGCAGAAGGTGTGAGCGGTCGACTTCTGCAAGTGCCATAAACGAAAGCTCAGCCTGAAAATCCCGAACTCGTACCTGACAACCCGGAACCAAACCTCCAGATAGTTTGCCACAATTCCTTTTGACTGCCGAATCAAGACCGCACCCGCAAGGCTTCTACCCTCCTTGCTAGGTAGTGTTTGAGTTGCGTTGCTAAGTCATGAGTGAGCCAAGCAGGAGTCCTAAGTAATGTGCATGACCAGTGACTCCCAGCAGAAGTTGCAGGCAGAGGAACCAAGACTAGCCTCAGGGTGCAATGGTCCACACAACAAACAGAAGCTAATTCAGTGAGCACTTGGCCACAAGGGAGTTGCAAGCCAGGTCCTGGCTGAGCCATTGCTCGTGCGGTTCCAACGCCTTCTTGCCCAAAGCTCAGGCAAGGTTCATCCACCATATCACGGCAAACCTGGGGCTGATCGGGCTGCAGGCGCGGCAAGTGTTCCAGGCTTTTGGACTTCATGTTGCCAAAGAGTCAGAGCATTGGGCCATGCTCTTTTGGGCTTGTTTGATTCCCTTACGTTGGAAGTCGCTGGGTTCCCCGTGGCTGTGGCTTCAGGAGGATTTCTAGCACCATCATAAATGAATCTAGCAGAGCCAATGTTTAAAAATACACTTTTCCGAGCCCCCCACCAGAACGTCATGATGTATCTATCTGTGTCTGTCGCCAGACCCAGTGTTCTTATACGTGTCGCCACGCCATCGCGTCGCGTCGCGTAGCGTTGGCTCCAGCGAGGTGACAGCAGAGGTCGCCAATCCGCTGCTCGGCCCTGGAGGGGTTTCGGGCTCGCCTTGTAATCACGATGCGAGGGCTGCGAGGGGCAGTTCAGGCATGCGCCTGCGGGGTTGCGTCAGGCTGCCTCAGAGGATTGAGATTGGTGGAACTGACCTCTCTGTGCGGGAGAACACTGTGGAAGGACGCTCATCTCGAAAGACAGCTCGGCACTTTCTATAGTCGTAGAGTCCTAGTGGTGTCCGGACTGCAGACCCGCCATGCCCCGGGAAGGAGAGCAGATCTTTCGCTTGAAAGGCGACGAAGATTCAGGCCATTTGTTGAAAAGAACAAAAATCACTACCTGAGCATTCCATGCACTTTCCTTTCTATGCAAGCCCGACGTTTCTGCGAGGCCTCGGAGGGCAAGTTCTGCAGCCGAGTGCCATCTCCAAGCTGAAGCTCTCCTTAAGCGCCCTAGCTTGGCAGTGTGGGGGTGCACTTCGCAGCGCGACAATTGTCCAATGCTTTGGTCCTTTGGGCGTCTTGTGCCTTGCGCCTTCGCAGCCTGTCACCTGCACTGCACTTAAGCTTACGTAGCCCAAGGCACTCTGGACGCGGATCTCAAGGACCCGCTGCTTATCGCGCGCCTCATCGAGGACGCTGTCGACGGAGCCGTCGTGGTGGCTCGGCGCACCAGTTACTCTAACAGATGCTGGGTCAGTAGCGCCATGACCGTCGCCGAAATGCGCTACCGTTAACGTCTGCGCACAGTGAAATCGCTACATATAAGAGCCACAATAGGTGAGTGTATGGCATCCTAAGGTTCCGTCTCTTCATTGCATATCTGCAGGTAGGGTACCTGAAGGTTAATAGCCAGAGCCGCGACCTCGGTCGCATGGTGTGACGACTGCGTTGTGATGATGACATCGCGCAGCGCAACGAAGATGTAAAGGCGGTGCACCGACGATGCTACGACGAATATGCAAGACGGTACCACGACAATGCGACGACAATGTGAAGCGCCGATGCAATCTCAAAACACCAGCAACATGCGGTGAGACTTGTCAGCTGGGTGGGAAATGTCAGTAAGTAGAAGTAGAGATTGAGCCTGCTCGGCACAATTGATGCAGAGACAACCCACTAGGTACCACTACGCCGTTGCACTGTGCAAGACGTTGGAGCTAGCAGCCTTGCGTTTGGTGTTCTCTCGCTGCGCCCAGCCCGCAGAACAAGACCGCAGCAACCCACAAGCAAACCAACAACGGAACCATTCAAAAGTAAGAACCTGATCCCGAAAGGTGGGGCACCCTGTGTCCTGACGTATGAGGCTGTGCTCTTGTACGAGAATTTCAGTGCATTTTGCCCGTGTGCTTCCTATCACAAGCGTGGTAGAGTGGTAGTCGTGTCCTTCATCATGACTGCAAGCTGATGATCATGACGACGATGATGAGGACGTCGTCGTCGCCGTCGAGAGCCATTTGCAGATTCGTGCTGTGCGCAGTCTAGCCCAGAACCCTCTGTAGGCCTGTTGTACTTTCCATGCATTGAACTTGAATGTCATTGCTGTACCGGAAGTCGAACCAAGCTTCTCGTCCAGGTAGGTGTTTCCGGGCCACTATCCTTGACCATCGCGCCGAATTTCACTCTGCCACTCGTTGAATTGGCTTAGGGCTTAGCACTGCAGGGTACACGGGGAAAACCTCCAGCCCAATGTGGCCCCTTGGCCTTTATCCACTGGCCCATCTGCCCCCTTCGTGATGAGCCTGAGCTTGATAAATCCACCGGTACACCGTGGCGGCAGCTTAAGAGGTGCTTGTTGGGACGGGTGATTTAGACCGGCGAGGTTGTAAGGATCCAGAGATAGTTTGTACAAAGGTGCATGTCTGACATGATGGGCGCGGGTCTCTACTGACTTACACACGCACACACAGATACAGAGACACGGAGGCGCACAGACACACAGACACAGAGAGCAGAGCTCATACTCCTCGAATTTTGTGTGCAGAGGACACTGAACTACATCGCGAACAATGTGACCGCTTCACTTACCTGCTTGTTGGTGTGTGGCTCTTCGCACAGCTACTTGTTCGGCCTTGAGTGCAAGTCGTTTCTCTGCCAACAGGATTGCAGGGACTTTTCATCTCAGAGTCTCGAAGCCCGAGGTTTGTTGAACCCCGTGAACTGGTTTCCCAGTGAAGGCTGACAAAGAGAGTTTTAGGCGACGCCTTTGCCTACAAAGCACCCCGTCTGCGGGGGGCTTGTGCGCTCCTTCGCTCCATCCGACGGCCACAACGGATATGCCGACGACGCAGCGGTCGCTGCGTCGCTGGGCGACCCGGCGGCGGACTGCCCGAAGATGACTCTCTGCTCGGACTCGACGACATGGAAAGGGAGCCTCGCGGACAGATTGGGCATAGGGCGATTTCTGCCAGGTGAGCGCACCTGGAGGCCGGAGCCCGGCGGGGTAACCGCGCAAACGAGGCAAACCTCAAGACTTTCAGGATTCCCCACAAGCGGGAGTCGCCCAGCGCTGGGCAGACAATGCACGAGCCGTGCTGCTCGAAACGGGCTCTGCGGCCAGTTCTGCGACCATTCAGATCTATGAAGCTGGAAGAGCCCTTCGCTACCAAGACCCTGCCTGTCGCACTTTCGGCTCCAGAGAGCGGGTTCGGTTGTAAGGGGCCGGTTTGATGCAAGGCGGGCTTCAGGGTTCCAATAGTATAGCTCCGTGCTGTTAGAAGACTGGCGGCAGTCGATGCCCTCCAGGCAAAGAGCCGTGAGGCTGTGCAAGTTTCGATGGTGCATGTATTGGCGGGTAGCACAAATTAGTGAGACTGTTATTGTAAAGAATGCCCTGCTGCGGGTTCCGATATCCTCCCCAGACTTGTGAGGTGACATGGATGCAAAAGAGCTTTCAGGCTCAGGCTGAACCAGGATTTCGCGAAGATACCGTCTTCCTAAAATGAGTCGCACGTCGTGTGCAGCCACTAGATTTTCGTTGGGGTGACTTGAACTGCACACACTGTCGCGAATGTAGTTTAGACAGCTTGGACATTTTCTTAGGAGTAAAGCAGGCCGCCATGTCACGGTCTGCGGCACTCTGCTTCGATGACACTCTCGCATCGACAAGGGAGCTGCGCTTCGCATCGACCGAGGATGTGAGCGCACTTCGCACCCACCTTTGCTGCTTGTCAGCCCGCCTTCTCTTCCTTTTGGCTCATGGCCTCTTGGTCGTGTCCATTGCAGCCTCCTTGGAGACCATCGAGGCAGGCCAGGCAAACTGGTGGCTGATATTCCTTCCTGCTTGGATCGGAAACGCCTGCTGCCTTCTCCTCCTGACATTCTCATGGTGTGCATCATGCCCGTATATAAAGCGCTGCCTCGCAGAGCGCGCCCCGCGACTGCACAATCATCCCAGCATCTTGACAGAGATACTTCCTGAGATTGTGTTGACAATTCCTGGGCTGACCTTTGTGGTGTTGGCCCTTTGTGCGGAGCACAGCTTCTGTGCGTACTTGATGTCGGTCCAGCAAGGGCAGCCGCAGTCCACCACTGGCTGCGCAGTGCTCTTCAGCATGCTCGCTTTGCTGGCTGTTTGTCAGGGTGCCCTCTTCAGGGACAACTCTGTCCTTTGGCTCTCTTTGGGCGCTGGGCTGCTCGTGTCGACGATTGCTTTTGCAGTCTGCGAAGGTGACTGCCCGGCACCAGGCAAGGCGGTGGTCGTGATGCCTTTTTGGCTGTCTGTGCTGTGCCTATTTCTGGCTTCATTGTGGAGGATGCGCAGCTATGCCCACGTCTTGCAGCAAGACGAGTTGATTTTGCTTCGAATTGAGGCGGTGCTTCTAGCCCTTTTGGCTTTGTGCCTCCTTTCAGTATTGGCAAAGGCCTGGCAAGCCAGGCTTGGCCAAGCTGAGGTTGACGGCTGCTTTACGGGTGCGATTCTTTGCATGCTTGCCTTCCCAAGGGGACAGCTCTGCGTTTGGGAGGCAAAGCGAGGCCAGTTGGTGGACAGGACATTCTGGCAACAGGCCGTCACACCACCATTGGCTTCTTTGGAGGTGTAGCCGGCAGTGACAGTAAAGGAGATCATCGAGAAGTTGCCGTGAGCTGGCATATGCAGCTGTAAATCTTCTACCCTGTGTCTTCGGACCACAGACTGGCAAAGCCATTCTGCCACTGCACGTATCACTCGTCGAAGCCCGACCGTCGGTTCAACAAGCCGATGAGATCTACGTTCATGACTTTCATGATGGGACCTACCACACCGAGTGCCAGTGCTGACACCCACCCACACAAGCACACACACACGCTTCTTTAAGAATAGGTGCGATTTAGGACATCAGCCGCACAGCGCCCAGCCAGGCATACTTGTCGCATGGGATCCCTTAGCTGGCGTAGCTACCGTGTTTAATTAGTGCTATAGCATCTCTAAGTCGAACTTGCAGTCGGCAGGTCATGGAAGAGACCAGCCCAACACCGACGGTGCTCGGCGCAACTGATAGCGAGGCTCAAGAAGATTTTGAGCAGGGGATCCTTGTTGGCTGGTGCTTCAGAAGCTGCGCGTAGCCCGGCAAAGCAACTTGTCCTGGCCGCACTCGCGCCTGACTTTGAGAGGTCCTCGCCGAGCTGCCGCCTGGCAGGCCCTTGGACGGTGGCATTTAGGTCCTGGCACTCTGCTGAAGCATCAGCAAACAACGCGAGCACAGCGTTGGCTTCTTAGAATCTATCCCCCCACATGCCCCACAATGTCCCGGCTGTGCGAGAATCTTCCTCTCTAGTCGCCGTCTCGAGGCTGCCGTTTTGGGAACTAAGCGTGACTAAGCAGAGACGGCACTTGGATGGCAGCACACATCGGAAACGCTACCCCAAAGCCCTGCAGCCTCCGAACACTGCCTGGCCTTGACTGCACGATACTGAACCAGAAGCTCAACTGGCAAGGTGCTCTGATGAGTTAGCAGCCTCCACGGGGCTAGTTCTCTCTGCGACTGGCCGAAGAAGGGCGGTTCCAATATGAAGGATCTTTTACTACAGAATTTCTACAAGTTTCCTTGAGAGGCCTTTCTGGTCTTTGAGAATGTGTCATTGATCTCAGGGCGGTTTCTTCTTCGGATTGCTCATGTGTTGGCTTGGGTTGGCTTTGGTTACCATTGAGGTTTTCAAGTTCGGGTTGAGATGTTTGGATGCCCCTGTTGAACCCTTGCTGTGAAAACTCTAGTGGCTCTAGTATTGAGGTTCGGGTGTGGTAGCCGCGCTATTGTCAGCGAGATGCAAAAGCTCCAGCGTGAGGTTTGGGGTCTGGCCTACCAAATCCCTCAGCTGCCGGCCGAGTCTTGAGTTTCTTGCATGGCTTTGCTAAGGTAAATCCTGCAGCAGGCACTGAGTGTCCCTGCTTAAGTCCTAAAGCCTTCGACTCTGTTCGAAAGAGGAGATCTACGATGTAAGGCAGCTTCTCACTCATAGGTCAACGATTTTTTTCTTACCCTCCGCGGCTTCGTGGAGAACTCACAAACTGTCTGTCTGCTGAACATGAGCAAAATGCAGTCCTGGCCAGGGGGTGTGCAGTCGAACAAAGCCTTGCGCACCAACCGAACGCGTGAGCTTACAGTGAACTTTTAAGTTAGCGCTATGTCTGAAAGCTCGATTCAATGTAGGACCGAGGTACAGGCCATGTATCATAAGTCCAAGCTAAGTTAACTTAGTCATTTGGCCACGAGGTGTGTTGGAGCCAGAGTTTTTCCACGAGGGCGATGCCAGCTGAAGGGAAGCTAGTGGGTTTTTGCAGGTCCGTCCTTCGAAGTAGTCGACGAGCCTTCTCTGAGGCACTCACAGCCCTTGTGACCGCTGAGCCCCAAGCCGGTGAGGAGGCTCTCAGGGTCGGCGCTTCGAAGGTTTTGAAGTTCCGGGTCGAGGGAGTTTCCTGGAAGCTTCGACTGCAGATTTGCAGTGTCCCCAAGTCTCAAGTTCTTGTGTGAATATCGACAGCATCTCTTACAACCCTTAGCGGCGTTGAAGCCAAGAAGCTCGCGGAGAGGAAATCCACCATGACCGCATCATCTCGTGCCGCTTCCTTTTGAGTCATCAGGCTTGAAGAAGTCGAGGTTGGGCTGCGCTTTTTCTCCCAAGCACTTTACCCCACTTTTTTTCAGGACCTGTGTGAGTCTACTGTACGGGTCGTGAGGGGAGCGAGCGCAGGAGTGATAATTTTCCCACTCGAAGATCCCTAGCACCCATTCCATAGGCCAGTGGGTTGTCACATGACACGCCTGAATTTCTGGGTCTCCTTGCCAGTGGCAGGAAGTGACTTCTTGATCTCAGTCTCTGTGAATGCTTTGAAGAAACCTTAGAGACAGCTTGTGCCCTTCAACCTGGAGGCTCGAGGCATGGACTCAGAAGTCACTGAGTCAGCCCTTTCAGTGCAGTCCTCGGGCCTCTGTCCAAGGCATGTTTGCGTTGGACAGCCTCTCCTGGGCCACTGGCAAGATCTTCCAGCCACTCGGCCGATGCCCGTAGGCCGTCTCCTTTTCTCCTCTGTGAAGCATCCTTTGCAGCATTGGCCGTTTGCACAGCCGGCCTGGGCACTCTGACCCTGCAAGAAAGCCCATGAAGCAGAAAGCGAACTCGGCCTGTGACATCTTCTGCGTCAAGTTCTGCACAGTGCAGGTACGAGGCTCTGCTCATTGCAGAGGACCCGCGATTGCCGGCTGTGCGCTGTCGTGCAACGGTCGCGACAAGAATAGACCAAAGAAGACTCCATATGTGCTCGATTTGGCCCAGCCCTTCGCGAAGTGAAGCGAAGACTTGACAGGAGCTTGGATGGTGCTACCTTTTGATCTCCTTTGTCACTACAACTGCAGAGATCGTGGCGCCTTGGTGCATGTGGGGGTCGGTAGGGTGTGGCGAGTGGCTGTATCAGACCGGGCTAATCGTGGAGAGTCATCTGAAGCTGAAGTATGGCCCCGACATCCGGTGCCAACCCGTGCCAAGCCTCGCACCCGTTGAACCTGAGGTGGAATTCATCGCCTCGGCGCTCACCCCTTTGATACACGCTCGTGTGGAGGGGATGCGAATAAGCAGCCGCAGCCTGGCGTGTCTGGCAACGAAGGCATACGCTGGGAGCAGCTTTCCAGCACGAGTTCTGAAAGCTTCCTCAGCAGTCGGCTAGCAGTGGCTTCTGCTGAGCCGAGAAGAGAGCGTCAAGTCGTCAGAGTGGTGCTCCCAGCGTTTACAGGCTCCGAGGCCCAGGCCGGTCAGGAGCTCGACAAGTGCCAAACGAACCGCTGTGGAAGAAACTTTTCAGCATCCGGAGCTCCGAGGCAATTTAGTCGCGCTGCTGGTGTACCCGGCCCTTGGGGCAATGATCCACCTGGCCGGCATGAAAGACACAGCATCTAGGCAGGATTTAGGAACTTTGCACTTCTACCTTCGTGGTAGGGTTCACGCACCTTTTACGCGTCGTGCGGTGTGGTAGCTCGGGGCTGGCCTCAAAACGACCCATCGACACTCCATACCTCAAGCACTACTATCACTACCGACGATGACAAATCGCGAGGCTTGCCTTGCAGGCCATGCATGTCGTAGGGAAAGCTCATTAAGAGTTCCGTCTTGGCCAGAGGTTACACGACGTGAGATGCTGTCCGGCGCATGTCCGGCAGAAGAGGAGTAACAGCAACACGTCAGTACAAGGATCCTAGGTGATGGTTTGGATACTGGTGATCGTGCGGACCCTGCAGTACAGCTTCTGCGACTTGGCATCATCTTTTTCATTTTAAGGGCGGCCGGTGTTCACCTTGCTTGCATGTTGGTGTTCGGGAGGTTGGTGTTTCGAAGCCTTGAGATTGACTTCTTTGTGTCAGTGAGCAGGACTCAGCTTGTCCCCGCCCTGCTGCATGTTGTCCGACGCTGCGAGATTTGAAACTCTTGGCCTCGTCACAACAGAACCTGCAATCCGGCGCTCATGAACGTCACCTGGCTTGTCCGGGAGTGTTCAAATCCTGAACCCGAAAACTTTGAGGCAACCAGGTGGGAGACCAAGCGCTGGAGATGCATCTCGGGTGCAAGGGGTGCTGTCAAGTCAAGACTTCTCTAAGTCACAGTTCCCTTAGAGGTTCGACTGCGAACTTAGTCGAGTATAAGTGGAGCACAGCACGTTTTTGCAGGATCCCAGCGAAGAGCAGTGATCTGTTGTCAATGGCCGGTCTCCGTCGTTGGTGCAGATGGATGCGGCTCTGGCGTGCCCGCACACTTTCCGCACGCACGCAAGCGCAGGCACGCAAGCGCAGGCACGCACACGCCTACGAGCGCACACGCGAACTAAGCCAATAAGCAAGCTTAAACCCGAGTATGAGCGGACTGATATCGAATGCAATTGCAGATGGCAGGCGGATGCTGAGTATTCACTGTGCAGGCAACAGAAACGTGTGTACTCGTGTGAACCATAAGCGACTGTGGAGAGTCGATAGCGGTACATCTAGAAATAATTTTACATGTATACCATATACATGTATAACTTCTGTACATGCAAGCTAAACTCCTCTCCGCCCAGTGACGCAGTGAAGAGCTCAAGCAAAGCTTGCAGAGGAGTCGGCCCTACTGGCTGCACAGCTTCCGCGGAACTTGGCTTTGCCTCCTGGGTCGCTGCCCAGGCATCCCTGTGACTCCATGTGTTCGTTCGGCGGTAGAGTGGCTTCCGGCGACCTGCAGACTTTTTACGTGTGGTAGCTTCACCAGAACGCAGGGCGCTCCGCAAAAAGAAGCGATCTTGGTTCGCACATGTTCGCATTCTGCATGGCACCACAGCAGCAGTTGCACGTGGACCTTGCAGCGGCTGGCATGTTGCGCGGCCATCCGACTATCCCAGCCAGTCCTTCTACTCCCAATGCATGAGCAAATACAATCTCATAGCAGAATGTCCATACGTTGAGAACGTCTTCTCAAAGCATGGCATTCTCCCGTGAGGCATGCCAGATGCCCTTGACCTGAAACTCCTGCATTTGATGACAACTGATCAGGGCTTCTCGGCCTCCGTCGCAAAGCTTCGCCCGAGTCCGTGTCCTACTATGTGACCCTCCTCCGCTTTGCGATCATGTTCGCCCTAGGCCCGGGCCGGCTTCAGACTTCGAGCCTTCGTTCATTAGCGAGATTACGAGCATTAAAAGCTGAGGCTCGAGGTCCAAGTTCTCCTCCGGACATGCCCTCGATGCGAGTTCCGATTTTGGGCGGCGTGAGGTTAAGGGACCCTTTTTTCCGCAAGTGCTCAGAGTAAATCTTCCCATCTTCTTGCTGGAAGAATTAGGTCGCTGGCAGTTTTTTGACAAGGCGTAGATATCACACTTGTGGTACTGAGCCAAGGTGGCTTCCGTGTGACCTCAAGGAGCTTTGTTGGCCCATCAAGCTTCACAGGTCCAAGTTGTGGTTGTCCAGAAGCTTGTGGCAGAATCGTGTGTTCTGTCCAAGGTGGTCGAAACACACGATGCCTCAAGCCTCGGCTATGATTGAGAGCCGTCTGACCAAGTCTGTTCCGACCATGAGAACCCTAAGCAGACGGCCAACGATCAAAGCCCGAAGCCTTGATCAGGCTCGGTGTACGTGGCGGTGCACAAGAACGACATGTTTCGCTGCTGGGCTACTAGTTGCTTCAAGCTGGGACGAGAGCAAGAGGTGTCGTGCGCTCAGAGGCACTCGCGGAAGTCGGTGGACCACTACTTGCGATAGATTGTAACTGTTCCGTTGCACTGTGAGACCGTCTGGCCCTGGCTCTTGGTTGATGGCAGATTTAACAGATGCTTTGCAAGTTTGCAAGCCGCAGCCGCAGCATTCCTCGCACCTAGGATGGTCTTTGGCTGCACTGTGCCTCATTGTCAATGCTGCAACCTCCGTGATGCTCCTTCGCCAGCTACCTGCGCCCCGGGCCGCAAAATCACTGAATCGTTGACTTTGTAAAGTTAAGTTATATCGAAGTTCTGCAAATTTCTGCGCCGTCGTCTAACACTAGTTACTTGCTACCAAGGCTTGCCGACTTGCAAGACTTATGTCAGGAGACGTCTGCCAAAATGGCTCTGCCATTTTGGCCCAAGATCGTGGACCGTGGGTCCTCCAAAATTTGTTACCTCGCTCCCGCTTTTCTCTCGCGACTGTTGATCATGGCACTCACCCCCGGTGCTAATGTCGATGATGTTCTCGCCTCTAGCATGGAGACGGTTGAGAGTTTGGTCCCCCCTCGTGACACAGGGGACAGTGATCCGGAATGGGAGAAGCCGGATGATGATGTGGCCTTGGCCCGTGCTACCCTAGCACACAATGTCCATGCCCATGAGGATGAGACGGCAAACTCTGCACTTGCTTCCTTCACGGCTTTGGAGGTGGATGATACCAGCATGGCCCTGCGGCTTCAGGAAATGGAAGCTGCCATGTCACGCCTGTTGGCCAAGGGCGATGAGATGGTGGCTGTCACGGAAGATAGCCCACTGTCCAATGCTATGGACACAACGGGTCCGGAGGTGCCAACCACAGGTGACTTTGTCCCTGAGGGCGGTGTTTCTGATGATCCCATGGAAAGGGCGGAGGTGCCAACCACAGGTGACTTTGTTTCTGAGGGCGGTGCTTCTGATGATCCCATGGAAAAGCCCGATGCCAACAAGGCCAGACCATACTCGGCCCTGCCCGCCGGCACCCTGGAGGAGAAGGTCTTCCGCATCGAGGGCTTCCCTGAGGATTTCCCCGGCATCGGCAAGAAGAGTGCAGACTTGGCCCAGCAGCTGACAAAGGAGGAGATCGCCTCCTTGTTCTCCAAGCTCAAATCGGAGCAGTGGAATCGCCCGGCCGTGGAAAGGGTCTTGGAGGTGTATCAGATCTACAAGAGACAGTTGGCCCAGGAAAAGATGCTGGCTGCCCCATACAATCGTGCTCGCAGAGGGGTTGGACACAGCAGCATGGGTCAGCTAGACCCTGGCAGCACTGGGGCTACCCTCATGTGCCCCAACTGCTTTGCAGATTGGCAACGGCAGGACAACAAGGTCGAGGGGAAGTGCAAGCTCTGCCAGAAGTCGGTCATTGCAGTGGACAAGGGCCCTCCCTCGGCCGAGATCAAGCTGGGCTCGGCCTCCTGGCGAATGTTTTGTGGCCCCCGAGGTGTCACGTGGCACACGGATGCTGATCAGGCCCAAAAGGAAGCTGCCTCTGTGGATATTGGCTCCTGGGCCCAGCCCCCGCCCAGGCCTACGGATCAGAAGGAGCTGAGCTTTGCCGACCAGGTGCCCATGGCCCTGAGGCTAAACTTGGCTCGGTGGCAACCCAACCTTTCGACGAGGTGCAGTTTGCAAACAAGGAAGCGGGAGACCGGCCCCACCTCAGAGACGACTGGCAGCCGAGCCAGGAGACAAGGGCTTTCCATCCCCAGCTGGCGGCGGCGATGGACATCACGAAGAAGAGCTCGGGCCCAGTGGACAAAGACACCAAGAAGCCCACGGAGGAAGAGTTCCTGGATCACATCAACCCCCAGCTGGACGTGATCGTTGAAATGCAGGCGGGCGCACAGAGTGTCGAAGAGGCTAAGGGCGCATCAATCCTTCGACGGCTGGACACAGAGAAGCTTCGCTCCCTTCTCAAGCGCAACTACCTCCAGGGCCCTGGGAATCAGGGAGAGGAGTTTTTCGCTGCGCAGACTACCTTGGAGGAGGCCAAGGCCTCCAACAAGCGCATGCAGGAGGAGGGATCCCAGCGCTCCCAGCTCCTCCGGCCTGTGGCCGATTCCATCGATACCTGGGGTACCCAGCTGCGCGCGGCCCTTGAGATGAACGTGTTCAATCCGGAGAGCCCGCTCAAGGAAATGGAGCTTGATGACATCGAGGCCATGAAGGAAAGGTACATGAACACGAAGTTCCTGCTGAATCAGAGCAGGAATCCTTTCCCTGCCTCCTTGCTGCAAGAGCTCCCCACTCTGGCTGCTCTGCAGCGTGAGGGCGAGCGGGTCGCCCGGGACTCCGGCGAGGGGCTGTCTTCCACAGGTGCCTTTGGCCCTGAGGAGCAGTCCCCGGAGGCAGTTCTGGGAGTTGCAGTGGGCTCGGTAGAGTTCCAGATCCTGCGCCTCAATCGCATCATGGAGCTGCACATGGGGGAGCAGCGCATGATCGGGGGCAGATGGAAGCAGCTGCCGGGGCCCCTCGAGGCCCCTATGTGGGCAAAGCCTCTCCCTGAAGGGGAAAAGCTCATGCTGGAGATGAGGACACACCCCTGCTCCTTCAGGCAGCCCTTCTTCGAGCCGATTGCCCTCACCATGGAGGAGATTGAGGCACAGGTCGCAATGGGCACGAGGCCCCCTTTGGACAAGATCATCGGCCCGTTCCATGCTGAAGGGGAAGGGAATACCCACTGGCAAAAGGAAGTGCAGACGTGGGACTTGGTGAGCCTCTTCTCCTGCTTCGGCCACACCTACTCGGCCAGACACCTTTATGCTGTGTGGAGCCACTTGCCGATCACCATCAGGTCCCGCAAAAGAGGGGCCAAGAACAAGCAACAGAACCGCAGCGACGAGATGACCATCGTGAGTTGATGAAGGAGGCCAAAGAGTTTGTGATTCTGCACGACCTCCCGGTGCCCACGACGAACCAGGAGTGGAAGCAGCTCTACCGCGAAATCGGATCCTTTTTCGCTGCCAAGGTCTTCATCAACCGTACGCCGCAGGTGGTTTTAGACCTCCCTGTATCGGACATCCATGACTCCAAGCAGCACATGCGACTGAGAGCCGTATGTGACGAAAGGATCACCCTGCCTTTGAAGGCCTTCCGGCACTTCCCGGAGATCTACAACTCGCTCTCCCACTCGTTGGGGCAGGAGTCGGTGGTGGAGGTCAAGACCCGCCTCAAGCCGGAGTACGCCGGCCCCATCTACCGGATCTACCGCAAGCTTGGCTACTCGGAGAGCCACATCAAAGGCCTCGGCTTGGGGGACAGGGACTCTTCAGCTGCCTTTGGCGCTGAAAGGATTCCCCTGGACCCCGGGTCCGAGCAGGAGCGCTCCCTCCCGCCCATCACCCCGGACAACGTTTCGAGTGTGGCCTCGGACGACTACAAGAAGAAGAACGTGGGGGACAAGACGGCCCATGTGTTCTGGGCCAAGATGGAGTGTGGCCTGGTCCTCAGCTCTGTTTTGATCTGGTCGGTGGTGCTCTCCAACCCGGAGCGGGATGGCCTCAAGAAGATCCACGAGCTTGCGGCATCCCGGGAAAAGGGGAATGACTACTTGCTTGACCTGCCGGCCTGCCTCGTGCGAAAACAAGGGCTCTTGGATTGCATTTGGTTGTCCCTCTCTCTCTCTCTCTCTCTCTCTCTCTCTCTCTCTCTCTCTCTTTTCCCGTAGTCTCCTCGGCTCAGGATGGCTGCTTTTGTATTTTGCTGCCCGTCCCCCTTTGGGCGGGCCTTGGTTAGGGCCCCTGACCCTCTCATCTCTGCTCTCTTCGAGCAAGGCATAGGCCCCCTTCAGTCTGATGGCGAGGTTCTTGCAGGAGTGCTACTAGATCCGATCGTCAGGGGGTCGGGCCGCTCCTTTGATGAGGAACAAGTGGACGTGACGCGGCCCTGGGGGCAAGCAATCGTGGATTTCATGGCCCGTTGTAGGCCTACTCAGGACTTGGACCGCGTACTAGGCGTCCCCGAAGGGCCGCCCCGATCAGTGGTCCTCTCATACCGCCCTACTCTGGTCTTCCAGTTGATTGTGGAAAGGGCTCTCTCTCTCTCTGCAGGCCCCACGGGGGAGGAGGATGTTACGGTGCTCCTCACCTCCCTCTGGGACCTTTGCACTAAGGTCGCTGCAGGCACTCCTTCTCACCTGTTGTCAGAAGTGGTTCAACGAAGGGCAGAGCGAGATCGCCTCGAGTGGCGCGAACTAAGAGAAGGGGTCTTGGTTGCCCCTTGTACGGTGAGCCGGTGGCGACATTGGAAGCCGGGAAATGTATCCGAACACCATTCTACCAACCAGCGGGCCCTGGAACGTGGCCTGCGGGAGAAGTGGGGGGAAAGGCTCCTCTCGTACCTCCTCCCGGCTCCAGGGCAGATCCCGCATATGGCGGCCATAATGCCTTCGGGTACCACGCTCATCTCTCTTGAGCTCAAGGGGGAGTTCATGGATCTCTTAGGAGACGCTAGGTTCCGCACCCTCAGGATGCGATGCCTCTCCTATGAAGAGCTCAGGCGCCTTGGGTTCACAGCCATACCTTGGAAGGAACAGGATGTTCGTGCTCTCCTCAACACTCTCCGTGATCAGGAGGTGTCCCCTCACAAGCTTCAGCAGGTGTGGGACACTCTCAAGTGGTTTGGTAAAAAGTTCGGGCTGCTTGCGGTCGACGAGGTCTTTCGGCTCACTGAGGCCCTCTCGGAGTCCCTCGTTAGCACGGTGCACCGTCCGATGCGGAAAGCTCAGGTTCCTTCCAAGTCCTTTGTGGTTCAGGCGGAAGAGGTTGCGGCTCGCCCGCTCTCTAGCTCGGCCACAAGAATCGAGCTCATGGATGCATTGCAAGGTTCCAGCTCGGTTCCAGTGCCCGCTTTAGTGACCTTCAACATACCAGCCCGGATACCCTCAAGGTGACCTCCACAACCATCGAGTTTTCAGCCTAGCAGACCAAGACCCACTCGGCAGTGGCGATTCACAAGAAGCCGGTCCCCCTCATCTGCCCCAAGTACTCCTTCTCGGGCAAGGACTGGTGGACTCCTCTCCTCTCCACTTGGCGCAAGCTGGCTGCGACCCCCATGTTTGATGCCATGGACTACCTCATCCCGACAGTTGGTAAGGATTATGATGGTTTCATCGCCAGGCCCGCCACCTCGCAGCGCGCTCTGAATTGGCTGCGCTCGGCGATGTCCAGACAGGAAATCGACAAGGCCCTGTGGGAGGGCCTCACCTGGCACT